GCTTGATTCAACTGGTCAAGGAGTCCTGATATCAAAGGTAATGGATACTTGTTCTTGATTGTGATCTTGTTGAGTCCTCGATAATCAACACACATTCGTAAAGATCCATCTTTTTTCTTTACGAATAGAATTGGAGCTCCTGCTGGAGATTTTGAATGGCGTATGAAATTCTTTGCTAAATTCTCGTCAATATATGTCTTGAGTTCAGCCATCTCATCTTGCGATAAACTGTAAATTGGTCCAAATGGTGGCTGAGTTCCTTCCTTGAGATCGATTGAACAATCATATGGACGATGCTCAGGAAGAATATCTGCATTCTTTTTCTCAAAAACGTCTTGATACTCCTGATATTGACTTGGAATGCCACTTGAAGTCTTTACGTTTTCAGAAATAGGTGCAGCATAAATAGCAAAAGTTGATCCTTCTTTTGCTGCGTGTATAAATGCTTTTGCACCTATCAGTACGGGTTTTACTGTACTAGACTTATAATTTTTTACTTGGTTCGTAGAACTATTAATAACGCTTTTGGAAAAGTCAAGTTTACGCGAATTCCAATCTATTCGAGGGTTATATTTTTCTAGCCAGGATAAACCTAAAATAACTGGATTGGATGGGGATTTAATTATGTTAAAAGCTATGTAGCTATCATGACCGTCTATTGTTACTTTTATAGGATGAGTTTCATGAGTGACATCTCCAGAAGACAAGGGACGACCATCTATGACTTCTACATGTACTGGTTTAGGTTTCTGTACAAAGGGTATTTTACGACTTTTAACAAATTGTTCATCTAAAAAACATGCTGAGGCTCCCGAATCTAATAAAGCAGAGGCTTTGTAATTCTTAGGTCCTAAATATAAGTCTATTATAAAACAAGGAGAGGGTTCTGAGGAGAGGATAGGACCTTCATTAGGAATTGTACAAGGTTCCAGCTGCACGGTCCTTATTGTAGCTGGACGAATCCGTTTTCCGACATGTTGTCTTCTTTGACCGTCGTACCCCTCATTTTATAGTTGCGTCGTTTCTTTGGACAATGTTGAGTAGTGTGCTTAGGTTCTCCGCAATATAAACATAATCCTTCTTGACGACGACGAATCTTTTCTTGCTCAGTTAGAGGTTTAAAACGTACCGCATCAATTTGCATGTCTTCTACTTTCGAATGTACGTTTGGCAAAGATGTTGATGTTGCCATTGAGTAATAACGTTGAGGTTCCCGTGAATGATTCTCAGATCGAAATTCAAAAAGTCGATTATCACATTTTACCGCAAAATCGATTGCTTGACTCAAAGTTTGAGGATCAGGTAAGTTGAGCATCAATTTCTTTACTTCGTATTGCAATCCATAAAGAAATTGACTGATGAGTGCAGCATCATCCCACTTGATGTCAATTGCAAGTTGTCAAAATTGTGAAGCATATACTGTTACTGAGCGATTTCCTTGTCGCAGAATTCGGATCTTATTTGTTGCAACACGAGTTGCATCGTGTTCACCATACATAGATCGAAAATCCGCCAAAAAAGCTTCCAAATTGTCCAATATTGGATTTCGTTGTTCAAGAAAAGACGAAAACCACGATAATGCAGAACCAGAAAGTAGAGTGCCAATAAACCTGACTTGTGATCCTGGAGTTGGATAGCTTTGCGGTTGAAGTTCAATTGCCAATTGTACTTGATTGATGAACCCTCGAAACTTTGATCTCGTACCATCAAATTTCTCAGGTAAGGCAATTCTTGGTTCTCTAGTGCTTATAGGGTGTTGTACAATTGGAGAAGGAACGTGATTTGTTGTAGATGTTGAAGCAGCTCCGATCATCTCTATATCTCCACTTTCTGCTATTCTTGTTCTTTCATGTGTTGGTGAATTGAGTTGATGCATCGCAAGCATTAACTCCCTCATTTGCTCTTGCATTTGTGCCATTGCACTCTTCATTTCAACAAGCTCTGCCATAATGACACTAAGAAGAAAAATTTGTTTGATATTGCTCAAGACAAAAGAAAAGAAAGACTTGATAACAAAGAAGATACTAAAAACAATATCAGTTTAGAAGTGAGTAATCCGCAAACTTCTAATACGCTTATGTCTTGTCAAGAGAAAGGGGTAATCCACTCTTACTCAAGAAAAAACAAAGCTCTGATATTGTAAGTGTACTCTTGTCAATCTGTCAAGGACAAAGACTCGATGAGGGAAAATATACACCAAAAGGCTATTTCGATATAATAAGTCAAAATATAAACAAGTAGGTATATTAAAAGGAAACTGGAATGGCTATTGCCACAAGACAAGAAATTAAAGACTCTTGAAGCTGGATTAGAAGCAAGAAAGGAGTTGACAAGAGTGAAGAAGCCTTCACTCTTGTCTCTATATATACTATCTAACTAAGGGCTACGTGGCGACGTTCTATAGGACCTCCAATATGTGTTGACTTTGTAGGACACATGCCTTGACTTACAAGGCAAGTTTTCCTACGTGTGGGCCACATAGTTAGCTTGATCTTCAAGCTAACAACATGTGTGGCACATGGCCAACTTGTTGACCACGTTTCTAATCCAAAAAGTCAATTAAAGACACCTATGAAGTCAAAGCAGCGTCTAAGAAGTTTCTAGGAAGCTTCTATATTAAATATTATACAATTAACTTACTTTTATCTACTTTTATTTACTTCTACCTATTTCTATATGTAATTATTAGCTTATATGATTATGGCCGTGACACTAGTTCAAGATCATCGCTCCTCATCCGGACGCGGGAAATGAGGCATTGCGGAGATGGTTTGAAAGCAGCGAGTGTGAAGTGATACTTTGGGCGGTGTCATAATACGTGAAATCTTGCTTGAGAATGCTCTGGGCACCTAGCTGTGGAAGGTAGAATGGAAATTGCAACAATAAAATCCTAATTCTAATAGAACACTAACAATGCTAAATAAGCTTTAATCAAATTTAGAGAAACCTCAAAAGAATTCCAAAGAAACAATAAGAAATCTTAAAGAAATATTAGAATGATTACAAACATATCTCAAATACATCTCAATTCAATCTTAATTTAATCCTAGTTGAAATTTTATTAGACTTCATTCAAACTTTAGGCCAAAAACTAACTAAAACTTAAATCCTAAACAAACTCAAATAAAATCCTAAACTCTAAATCAAATCCTGATCAAATCTTAACCAAACCTTAAACCCTAAATCAAATCTTAAATCCTAAACAAAATCCTAAACTTTAACCAAACCCTAAACTCTAAACCAAATCCTAATTCTAAATCAAATCCTAACCAAATCCTAAATCCTAAATCAAATCCTAATCCTAAATCAAATCCTAACCAAAACCTAAATCCTAAACCAAATCCTAATCCTAAATCAAATCCTAACCAAATTTTAACCAAACCCTAATCTTAAATCAAATCCTAACCAAATCTTAATCCTAAATGAAATCCTAATCAATCCTAAATCAAATCCTAACTAAATCCTAATCTTAAATCAAACCCTAATTAAACCCTAAAGTCTAAACAAAATCCTAATCCTAAATAAAACCCTAACCAAATCCTAACCAAACCTTAATCTTAATCCTAAATCAAACCCTAACCAAATCCTAGTAATTTCTATAGCAGATTTAAACCTCAATAACTAATGAATGAACTTTTGATCTTAACTCAAATTTTGCATATTTCTTAAAAACTAAGTTGAAAACAAGCACAAAAATTTTGAAAAGGATCGAAATTACCAAATAGACAATAATCTCAAAAACGTGCTTGGGTATTGGCTGGCCTCCTTCTCCAACCTTGATGCTAATCTCCCAGAGCCAATATCTCTTCTAATCACCGTTCGATTGATCTCAAAATTCTCATACACATAGAAAAACAAGTCTAATATTCTTTCACATAAATTTCACTCCAATCCAACCTATAGATTGCAAGAAATCTTAAAAATCCTCACTGAACCTAAAATTCTACTTTCTGAGACCTTGACTCACTTAAACCTTAATAATCCTCAATTCAACCGTTAGATCAAGCTAAGATTCACAACACATATTAAGCACAACTATGACCATTAATCTAAAAATTTTTACTAATAGATCTATTACAAAACTCTTGAAATCGCTAGAAATGTCAACCCTATTTTATTTCACAAAATCCAAGACATCTGAAAACAATCTTGACTTTGTAAAGCTCTTACGAAGTCATAACAACTCCATTTTGCAAAAAATTAATGTTCATAGAAACCTTATTCTATTTTCTATCAAATTCCACTCTCTGATCTGCCAAAGAGTTCTCGAGTTGTCATCGAGACTCAGTTTTGTGCCTCATGGTCTAATTTCGACCAAGGTTGATAACCGGCCCTCCTTGGGTATCAATATCTAGTTTTTCTAAATAATTTTTGCTAGAATTTACTCTTAACTTCTTCCTAAAGATGTCTATATCATTTATTTTTCCAATCTATCTTATTTTGCCTTATTTTTGGCCCTACAAAGTAAGTAGAAGCTATTTTTTCTAAAAGGGCAGCATTACTACTAAAAATTTTACTACCTTCCTATCTTTTATCCATATTTTTCTATTTTATCTTTTAACTTGGCTCTTCTATAATAAGATCCATATTACTTTCTCTAACCATATAATCGTGTTACAACACGACAGCGGGGCTCCACTTACCTAGTTGGGACCCTCGCTTGCCCCACCCATCACCACCTAGGGGCTTCAAAAACTAGTAAAGGGTTGAGGCGCAAAGCGAAAACACTTGCAAGACACTAAAAAAAAACACATTTTTTCATAAATATGAATAGACCAAAAAAATAAAATAAAAATAAAAATAAAAATCCAGCTTTATTCCCATGGTTCTTACGACCGTGGCTAGGCCAGGCCACAAGCGTTGCGTGTGTACACTAGATCCTTGATAGCTCGTGGAGAATCACGCTGATTCCAGGCTCTTCACCTCCTCGTCCATTGATACCGAAGGCCCCATCGAAAAGCTCGGCAAAGTCCCAAAAGTCATGCCAAAAGCAGGAATGTAGTCGTCACCATCATGATCTAATCCAGCCTTTGCTTCGTGCTCCTCCGGCTTCATCAGAGTGGGCAGACGAGCACGAGATTCTCGAACTCCGATTCCTTCGATATATCTAGCAGGAAGGGATGGATTAGAATAAGAGCTAAGGTCAGGAACTGTCCAGATTTTCGATTGCAGTCGGTGTCGAGACGGGGTGTGCGAGATTTCAGTGTGAAAGTTGCATTGGAGCAGCTGTAAGTGCGATTATACGGCAGCGACAAGGCCCTTTCAATATCTTTTCACAAGCTTGTGACGCTGTCGTGTTAATGTTTGCATAACGTCACATTGGGGAAGGATCATTTTAAGACTGCGGCAGTGTTGGTATTTTGATTTCTTGTTATGCTGGTCACGTGTCGGAATTTGAGCTCAGATTGTAATTGAGTGATGAGTCGAGGTGCAACGGTTTTGTTAATGGAGATGCAAACACAAGAGATCTGTTGATTTCGGCAGAAAACATGGAAGAGATTTGAGTATATGTGCGAACTCTTTTGCCAATTGCTTCAGTTTTGGAGTCAACTAGTGTTTCCGAACCCATGGCGACTAATATATTTCATCTTCAATTTGCGACTGTTGTCTTGGTACTCACGGCGATTTGCGCTGATGGGTGGGAGAGTTGCCCAAAGAAAGAAAAAGGGATGTGTAGTATGGTCCTGGACGGGACCGGCTACGCTTGTAGAGAGTACACGGTAGAGACGGAGGACGGGTTCCTGTTAGGGTTGCAGAGAATATCACCAGCAATTGAGAGGTCGAATGTAACGAAAAGGCTTCCTGTGGTGTTACAGCATGGGTTACTTCAAGGGGGCGACAACTGGGTCCTGAATTTCCCTGGTCAGTCGCTGGGTTTTATTCTTGCGGACGAGGGCTTCGATGTGTGGATTGCGAATGGACGTGGTACGAGATGGAGCCATGGACACAGGAGGTATTCTAAACACGACAGAAGATACTGGGACTGGACTTGGGATGAGCTCGCTCAGTACGATCTCCCCGCCTTGTTTGAGTTTATCATGACAGCCACCGGGTCGAAGGTGTTCTACGTCGGGCATTCGCAGGTGAAATTTTTTCGCCATCCACCCATACAGTCAAACGTGCTCAACTAACTGCAGCTTTTCTTGTAGTTCTTATTGTAGTGACATGGCGTGCAGGGGACAATAACAGGATTAGCATCATTCACGCATCAAGCTGTGACGGACATGTTGGCAGCGGCGGCGTTGCTAAGTCCCATCTCATACCTCGACCACATCTCATCGAAGTTCATCAACAATGCCGCACTCTATCACATCGACATTTTGGTGAAGTCCATGGGTTTTCGCGAATTCAACGTCCGGAATGAGGTGGGAGTGCAGCTAATGGACAGGGTGTGTCAAGAAATAGACTGTCGTGACCTCTTGGCAACCATCACTGGCCCTAACTGCTGCTTCAACCGTACTCGCATCCCCTACTACCTTCAATTTGAGCCTCACTCCACTTCTTTGAAGAATCTGGCTCATTTGGCGCAAATGATAAGGAGAGGGACTTTCTGTAAGTACGACTATGGCTACCTAGGCAATTTACAGCACTACCAAAGCTTATTCCCCCCAGCTTATGATCTTACCGCTATCCCGAGATCTCTGCCTCTGTGGATGGCGTATGGAGACAACGACGCTTTGGCCGACCCTGTCGATGTTTTACGCACTGTCAAGCAGCTCCGGAGGAAACCAGAGATTGTAGTGCTGCCTGATTACGGTCACCTAGACTTCATTTTCAGCATTAATGCAAAAGGGGATTTGTATGATAGCATGATCGCTTTCTTCAGATCTCATGCGGATCGTTGTGAACAAGACATCACTCAAGTTACTCGAGTTCCAGAATCATCTGTCTAGTGCCTGAAACTAGTGGTTAGTTTGATTCTGACCTCTCTTAGGTATGCTTGTGGCGTTATAAATCCTCTATTTTCTCCACACAAATGTCAATAACTCCTCTGGATTTTAATCTCTGCATAGTCCTTAGATGAGTAGATTAGACCTTATGATCGTGTACGAATATTTATTTAGTGCGCCTATAGGCTGTTCTCGATTCCAAGATTGTTTTTACATCTAGACGCACCTAATAAAGGACATTTTTGGAATACCTTCCTTATTTCCGGCTTTTCCAACCGCAGTCTACAATCTATGCTTAATACCAAGAACTGCAAGCTTCAATAACATTGTTAACAAGTTGAACCTATGATTCATCCATTGAGGTTCAACACTTGCTTTTTAGGTTCCATGGTTTTCGAATGTTCTCATTATTCTTGAAACTAAGCGAAATGATGACATTGTGTCCAGAATGTTGTAGACAACCTTTGGGTAACTTCCACCAACAGTATCCCCTATATCTTTTAACACGAATGGTGTTCTAATACATTGCTAAAGAAAAGTAATTCAAACACCGTAAAATCAAGAATATAGTGCTAACTGATCACGTTTTGATGACAACTAAATTGAGGTTTGGGGACCCTCTTTTGGCCAAAACTTATTTCTCGATCCCCCAGTCAGAAACGGCAGCTAGCTCGGGTTTCAACTTGTGCGTGGTGTGACGGGAAGAAATTTAACAATGTCTTATGTTTATGGTGATAATATTTCAAACTAGCAACATCAACAGTGCAGTCGCTCAGAGATAAGGGACTGATGCTGCAAAGTCGACCGTGACGATCGTTTGTTTCCAGGATCAAACGTTTTCGATACCTGTTACGTATGTAGCTCTCATCGGGAGCACAACGTGTGTACATCTCTGTAGAACTATCAAGGCTGTGTTACCAAGTTTAATCATTAATATTAACTCATCCTTGACACGCATGAGCGAATGACAAGTTCAACCCCATCCCACTGTAGCAAATGGTGGGAGAGGGACTGAACATGATTCCCAGCAACACATTTCCCTACAATAACCAGGCATTGGACACCACCGCCAAGGTTGGAGCCATGCCCGCTCGTTACGAATAGATCCGCGAAAAGATTCGTTACAATGTCATCTCTCTATGGCGTATAGTAACAAGATCAAGCCTGCCATGAAGATGACTAAGTGGTTTCACTACTAAGTGCGAGTTTATGTGTTGAGCTTGTTCGCAAGCCGGCAATTGATACCTGAGCTCTTTTAAAAGGTTTCCTGCCGGACCCAACTAAGGATCTTGTTGTGCCACACCAGGCAAGGGAGACCAAGTGAAATTGTGAGAGGAAAGGATAGGGACCTGGTGCTACTTTAAGGAGTGTATCTCGCACGAGGATCGAACTCCCTCACCGTGATCAAGGAGCAGACCTGGAGCTGGTAGCGATTACCAAGGCCAAGTCGGAAGAGAAGGCACAGACTTGTTGATGTCGGTCAATGCCGCCATACAGAAGCCGAGGAAAACACCGCCTTATCTTCTCAAACAAACAAACAAAGGCAGTGAGAGGATCAGTGAAGAAGGAGAGATCGCGGCGGTGAAATGGTGGCCGAGTGTGCAGATAGATTCACGGATTCTGCTCCGGAGCCCCTCAGTTGCGTGCCCAGGTTGAGAGTTGGGTACCGTGAGCCGGCCGACGGCCATATGACCGTGTCCCAGCCAAAGTTGATGGAGCTGACGAGGATTTTGAACGAGTCGTCGGATATCGAACGTTTAGTTGGTGGGCGGCGGGACACGGACCAGGTTTTAGTTTTAGATTGTATTGTGTTTTAAAGTTGGTAGATTCTTATTTGAGTGTCTATTAGATGTGAGTGCAAGAACAAGTAAAGACGTAGAAACAATGAAATTGTATTCAAAAAACAAAAAACAAGAAAAATTAACTGAACATGGAAATGGTATATTGTTATATTACTTCTCAAGGGATACAATATTAGTGTTTTGGTTCACATTCAAAAAATATTTTTACTTGATATAAATTTCTATTGGTCTTTTGGGTTACTATTGATATTTTTTTAAATTAGAGATAACATTGATGTGTGAGATATTGAATAAAAGAAAAGAAAAATATTATTTAACTAATTAATACTAATTGTATGTATAATAAAATTGTACAAATTTCATTTAGAATTTTACTAATCTGGCTCTAGTCTCATATTCATTTAAATATTTAATTATGTATAAAGGACCGATAAAAATAGGTACATACTTTTGTAATATAAAATTTAATATTACTGTGATTATGTAAATATTTTTTTCTTTACTAGTAACTTCGATTTTTTTCAACCAACTGAAAAGATTCAAATCTTACATTAAAATTATATACACATGGTTATAAAAAAACAACTTGAATTATTATATTTCGTTTTAAAAATAAAATAGAATTACACCTTAAAATCTAGAGAAAAAAAGTACTTTGTTATTATTTTTAATATGTAATTTACTCATTAAAATTACATTATAGATGTTTTATTATTTTTTTATTGAATTATTGATAAAAATATAATTAATTATTTAATAAATGCTTGAATTCTCAAAATAAAAATTCATGTTTAAAATTTTGTAAATAATCAATGTTTTAATATTAAAAAAATCTATTTTTTAGGTTTCGATTTAAAGAAACAAAACAATTACAAAATCCTTCACATTAGAAAATATACATAATTAAAAGTATTATGAAATATCCTCTTTAAATTAAAAAATATACACCTTTAACATTTTTATAAAATAAATAGTAAACAATAATGAAACTTCCCTTATATATATGTATATATATATAAGTAATTCTACCATATTTTTTTATATTGCCACCACAACTTGCCTCTACTCAAGATATTGCTTTGGTTATTTATTCATTTATTTCTATCAAAAAAATTATTCAATCGAATGGTTTGGAAATTATTGAACAAAGAAAAATTGATGTATTTGAAATGTATTGAACAAAGTGTTATGTGGTGGATGGAAGTGTGGTGGCAATAGCAAACACTATGATAGCATTAGCAATACCCTGTATATATATATATATATATATATATATCCACAAAAAATATTATATTATAAAATATTTTTTACACCTAATATATACAAGATTTTAATGTTCATATCATTACAAAACCAAATACTTTAAAGTGTTCAAAAAGCAAGGACAGTTTTGTTGTAATAAAAATAAAATAAAATAAAAATCCAAAATTACACATGTGTACAAAGAAGATTATTGCATTAAGACATCTGAGATGAAAAAGAATTGATAAACAATTTCATTAGAAAAATAGGAAATCAATGGCACAATATCACCATGAAAGTTATCCAAAAACATAAAATCTACCAAAAGTGAAGGAAATACAAATATAAAATAATTTATGAAAGAATATTAATAGACAGACACTCATCTTAACAACGCTGCTTTACAAAGCCACACAAGGGTTGCATGCTGCTCACGATGCTTCCCAACCCCAAAATTAGTAAAACAAAATAAAAGAAAAGAAAAGAAAAAATTCTCCAACGAAACCAAAACTATTTCCACTAACATCATTCAATTACTTTTTCCACCAAATAATTTGGTTGTTAGCGGAAGTTTAGACGAAACTTGTCATGTATCCCTCGTCCCAAGCGCACCATCTCTGGAGGCGGCGAGGTCCGGCGACGGAAACCGGACGAGCGAACGGATCGTCAAACTATTGCAACGGGCGGCGACAAACGAACAACGAAGGATCTTGCAGATCGTCCAACTCTCGGAACATACATTGACGGACGGACGAACGAACGAACGAACGAGCGAAGGAGCGAAGGAGCGAACGAGAGGGAGAATCCACCCACGTGAGGAGCGCCGCATTTCGGTGTAATGTGGCTTTAAAAGGGGGTAAATTGAGGCAAGGATGGAGGATCGCCGATGATAGGTAATATGCCTGCTTCCCTTGCGAGGCCTCCTCAAAGCTTGATTTGTGTTTATAGCATGCACGTGTGCACCGGCATTGCGAGGGATCGAGCGAGGGAGCTGCCTTCAAACCCTCCCTCGCTGCTCCATATCTGTGCGTCAGCCTGCCGCAGGTGGATGTCAGAGGCCTCAGCTACTGTCAGTGCCTAGTGTGAATAGCCCTCTCGCTTGGGTCGGAGTTTGCAGCGGGTGGGATTTGAACTGTGCGGGACGAAGCTCCAGATCCGATTTCAGGATTCAACTCCTTGAGAATTTCGCGCAGATTCACGCCCTTATTCGCTTTGAGTCCCTGTCAATCTTCTATTAGCGGGTGGTCGGGTGTTGTGTCTTTGCTGAAGCGCATTCGGTGCCAGCTGGGGTGGCGTGGGCGAGCGAAATGTACTTGTGATATCACTCTCTGTGAGTTCAAATCAGCTTGGTTGTATTTGGTAGTACTGTTTGGCGCAATCAAGGTCTGATGGCAATTGAGTGAGTGACGATGCTGGTGTTGGAGCGTGGAGTGTAAGTGGCTCGAAATGCGAGGACGTTGCAGAGGGTCTTTGCAACCGGGTGCCGTGATCAAGAAGTTGCGTCTGCAGAACGGAGCAGAACACGCTGTTTAGAGTAGCTTGCCGCGATGGACTCGGGTAGACGAGCTTTGGGTTCTTCCTTTCTTGGGGTGCAATGGCTCTGCGGTTGTCTTGCAGCGATTCTTTTGATGCTTACGTACAGGACCTCCGCCGCTTACACCTGTACGTCTGATCCCAACAACGCCTCTAACATGACCATGTTCAAGACTCAACCCACTTGCTTGGACACACAGTTTCCCCCAGATAGGAACGGCCAAAAACTTTTAGTGTGGGTACGTATCTAGTTGACCTAACTATCCAGCTTGTCATGTTTCTATTTCCTTCTATACCAACACATGCTACTTCTTGTGACCTTTGCAATCAGGTCGAATCCAGTCGTCTTTGAATTCGGCACCGAAGTTGGCTATTCTTGATGTGAAATGTCGAGTACTATCTTGAGTCCTTTAGATTGTGGATTTAGGTTAATGTTTTGAAGCAGATTATTTATCCAGAGTGGTTTTAAATTGGAAGCAGAAGAGAGTTTTAGGGCACTTAATCTTCAGAATTTAGTTCCTTAGATCTACGCTTGTCTTGTATCTCTGCACTTTTTTTGGGTGAAGAGTATTTGTGTGACCCAGTCTCAATTATGGTCCTGAAATCTCGGCGCATATTTTGAAGGTCCTTGCTAGTTGATGAACTGTGAATATCAGCCAACGAACCTTACAGAAATTTGTAGCGAGCATATTGTTCGAAGTAGAGTGGTCCTTGTTACACTTACATTCTTGCTCATCAACGATTGTGAACCATTCATGATAATTTAGCATTTTCTGACTCGGGCTTCGGTTGATGGTGATTAATAGTCGCTGAGAGATAACGCAACCAACTACGTGACCATCGTTGTGGCGGCTCCTCTAGATGAATCAGAATGGATCGGACTTGGATTCTCAGAGGCAGGTCAAATGCCAGGATCCACAGCTGTGGTAGCCACATTGGGCGTGACCGGTAGTCCTCTTGTTCAGCCATACTATCTTAGAGATAGGTCGTCGAATGGAGTTATTAAGGACGATTCAAGGCTAATCCTTCCAACACGAATGAATGCAACCTACGATGGCACATTGAAGACCGTCTTCATGGCCTTCAGAGTGGACTTTGCATCATCCAAAATAGTTCCTAATTATCTGCTCTATGCTGCCGGGCAGGCATCGGGTGACGGTAGTATCATTAATTACCACAGAACAAGATCCTTGGAGGAAATGCAAGCTAACTCCCAGTTTCCTTTGGGTGGTACGTCCTTTATCCCAACCTCTGCAGCCTGAGTAAGTGCACGTGTATTGTTTGAATGCTTGATGAACATTGTTAGTTCTGAATAATTCAACAGCTTAAGTTTTAACTTGCATATAATTTCCTAAATCACTCATAGAGTACGCATAGCCTATTATGCACTGGATCTTGGAATGACTTTCATCATAACATACACACACTCACACACGAGTTTCTTTTTTGATTTAAAGTGTTTCTTTTAGCAGTTGTATTTGATTATTCGTGTGAGGCTTCACGCTTAATGGAATGAGCTGTGCTTCGGTGCTGCAGGTGCTGTGGGGGAATCAGCAGTATCTAAGCTTGAGAAGCGAGTCAAGACACATGGAGCTCTTCAAGTTTTTGGATGGGGAGTTTTGTTGCCCATTGGAGCGATAGTGGCTCGGTATGCCCGGGAGTATGATCCCGCGTGGTTCTATATTCATGCCACGTTCCAATTAATTGGGTTTATTTTCATCATTGCTGGTGTAGCTACAGGTGTAGCTCTTGCAAAAGATGTCGAGGTTCCGGGCTTGAATGGTCACAAAGGACTCGGTTTATTCCTCCTCATTCTGGCTATTTTACAGGTATGACTATAACCTTCTTTTTGATATCAAAATTGTAACTGCAGTGGTAATTACCACACTTTTCAGTCCAGAATATAGTGGTAAGCAAAGCCATTCACTATCTAGTGAGTTCAACTTTTATTCTTCATCTGGACCATACGAAACCAAACTGAATGTGGTTAGCGTTGTGGGGTGGGTTATTGGTGTAGAAAGCTATAACAAGCAAATCTGTGGCGCCTCGATTAGACTAGACTTCAGAATTTAGTGGTCCGCATTACCACCGTAAACATATTTAGATGCTACAGAAAATGCTACTGGACGATCTACATATGCCGGTTTTGAATATCAAAGGTCAATATTTAAAGTCAAGTTCTACCCTACCTGCTGATTCTTATTTCAGTTATTTGGGCAAAGTCTGCAACGCTTTCGTGAATCCAATGGGGGCTAAAGAAAATCCCCATCTGTATCATGTTGTCGAAATGAGTTCTGATGTTGTGCTGATGTGGCAGGTTCTAGCGGTTGTATTTCGCCCCAAAAAAGATAGCAATACTCGCAAGTATTGGAATTGGTATCACTGGTGGGTGGGCCGCTTGGCACTCTTTCTGGCTTGCATCAACGTCTTTGTTGGCCTCAACCTTAGTAATGGAGAAAGGAAACTTAGAGTTAGTTATATTGTCCTTCTGGCGTTCGAGCTTGTGGCCTTTGCAATTTTGGAAACCATCTACTGGGTGCGTTGGAATCGGGCCCCTGCGAACAGCTCCGGAGTTCGGTGGAACCGAGCATCAACTGAACGAGGCTTTCAAATGTCCGATTATTGACCTGTTGGCTGGACTTTATGACGAATTATAACTAGTGGACAGCTTGATACATTTAGCCTTTGCCAATTGGCTGTTTTGTGCGTGATTACTCGTCATTGGCACATTGGTTTGTTTACTTAATTGCTCCAGTTATCACCATTTTTAGTTGTACGTGGCATAGTGAACATTAGTAATCATATAAAGATGTAGGCTTCTGTAAAACTATTAAGAGTGTTTCTATATTGATGGTATGCGAAGTAATCTGAGTTGGTATTAGCAACCTGTCAGCAAAGGGCATTGGGAAACATAAAAACAAGTTTCTATCTACAATCTCAAAACAGCCAAATGATGATATATTGTCAATTGGCTGTTTTGTGCATGGTTACTTTTTGGTAAAATATAATATGTTAACAATACCATATACTAAAAAACATTGCGAATGGTGAAAGTATGTTTATGTCCGCAATTGTTACAATACTTCACTAGTAGGGAACAACAGAACAATTTCGGTGCCTAGCTTTTTCCTCCATTCCCAATGCAAGGTTTTCTCACTTCACAACCGCCAACCAAAATTTCATTGTGCACTGGATCATAAATGTCGTATTTACGCTTGAACCGGTGTTCGCGCCACTGGTCCTGGATGCTGCGTGACACAGGGTGCATGCGATTGCTGAGGCAGTCTCTGAGGTGTTCCTTTGGTTATCTGTCCATCAGAAAGTGACTTCTCGTCCATCAAATGTGAAGGTCGTTGCCCCTGAACTGCTTGCGAAGAACTATAAATAGTGGTCGAAACTTTTGGTTTTGGATGAGCAGATTGAGAAGCCTGCAAACAGCCCTCGTCAATTCGAGCTCTCTTAATCAAAGGCTCGTCAATTGGCATATTGTCAATGGTGGTAGCTTCAATCGGCTCACGCTTGTTGATCTCATTGGTGCACAGAACGTCGGAGGTCGTTGGATTAGGCGTCTCGGGGCAACTACCTTCAGGCAATGCTTCAGGACCAGTATCTGGCAGAGGGCTGGCAGCAGGCCCTATGGAAACCGGAGTAGGAGCCAATGCAACTGCAGTTGAGTCAGGAATTTTGTCCAGCAACATTCCTCCCACTTTAGCTTGCGCTTCAATCATTTTTTGAAGGGATTGACCTTGGGCCTCAATACGTAACTGCAGCTCCCGTTGGACCTGTAAAGGGATAACATTTGCTATATCAGAATTACTTTCTGCAGAAGATTTGTCTAAATGACTGATATACAAGCATCACACATTCACAGGCACGGTTGATAACGAGAGAATACCTCAAGCTGCTCGTGAAGTTTTTTCTGCACCTCCATCTGCATTTGCAAAGCTTGTGTGATTTGGTAGCTCCTGCGATTGGACGATGAGATTCAGTTAGGAAAGAAGGGAGATATGGTGAATTGGACAAGACCTTAACAGATACCTCAATGGACCTGTATTTCGGCAAGACTCAAGACATCCAGGTGGTTTCCCCAGGTATTACAGCACTTCTAAGAGTGCTCGAAAAGATATGAAAGACATTGGACAAATAAAAAGCATTGTCACGTTCCAAAACCTTCAGAACCCTCAACGAACCCAGACCTTGATCATGAGAACAGATAAGATGCACAAACACATGCAGCTGGATATACAAAGGGCAACTTACGAGCTGATCTCTAGAGGCGTAAGAAGGCTTTCAGTCCTCCTTCGTTCCGCTTTTTGCTCTACAATAGTCCAATGCACAAATTTAACATGCGGTTTAAGATTCAATATAAACTAGCCTCAAATCTGCAATAAGATTACTCATTCGTTCCAATGAAATGCATACAATGAGAAGAAACAGGTTACAATCTCTTCAGACTTAAGATTAACAAATGGGTGCCACTATATCTTCAGAAGGACAGATGGTTGGTCAACACGAACAATGAGTGAGAACTTTCACATACCTTCAGTAATTTCTGGCATATATCGGGCAAGTCGGTATTTCTGAATTCGCAATGAGAGGATGCGTTAGTCCTCTTCTCGTTTCTATAAATATTCGAATTCATTGAATAAGATCCAGTTCAAGAATAGAACTGGAACGATAAGATACGTGACTCTCCACCGATCACTGTCGGCCATTAAGAAATCTTTGAAAAGGATTTTAAGGATTACCTGGAGGTGGCTCTTCACATGATAGATAGTTATCCCTTGAACACCCATCAACCCCATCACTGCTTTTGGTGTAGCCCCTTCAGAAAAGAGAACACCCAGAAAATAAAGGCGTTGCTCATGGAGATAAATTTTTCATGTGAATCATAGTAGCCAAAAAGCATCAGTACAATCCATTTTGATAGAATACATAGTAGTGTAATTCATAGCTCTTGTCCAAGCGTTCCTCGATGTCAATGAAAGAAATAGCAGTAAGAAAGACTATATAAACCCTTGAACATTAGTTGACACAGCTACAAGGTACAATAACTGAGCACCTGGTCCAATATAAGGTCATGGCTTCCAAATGAGCAAGATTTAGACTTCCAGGATATTTCGATTTAGAATGATGAACAACGTCAAGGGGCACGTGAACTTACGATCAGCCCCTCCAAGATGCGCTACTGCAGTTATGAATTTTTCGTGAAGCTCCGGAGTCCACCGCAATCGTGTCTTCCCAGGAGCTGAAACAGAAGGGGCTGCACCCGAGGATAGGCTTGGGCTACCGGGACAGGCAGCACTCACGGCCCCTGTATAAGCTACAATAAGGATACAGGAACCCATTTAAATATGCTAGCAGAATATATATTTTTGTTGATCACTGCACAAACCTAGCCCCATACCGTCCGGAAATAAAAAATACCCTTAGCAAATCAGCGAATAACTGCAGCTTCACGCTCGATACCATCGAGCGCATTGGAGAATCCTATGAATTACTTGGACAACGTAACCCAAACTGGTTTATGCCCCATAAAAAGATTGCTACCTGTAAACCATTCTACAAACTCGTGCATTAAAATGCTTAAGAAGAACCGAAAATTTGAAACAAACAAACTGACAAAAAAAAAAACAAACAAAACAAAACAAAACAAAACAAAACAAAACTCGTACTGTTTGGTAGCAACCACTCTTTAATGAAAGTCCTCAGAGTGTTCTGAGGGAGGAGCAATGTTGTCAGGATTTAACTTACTTGATGAGCGCTTCTCAACAACGGGAGGTGGCGCCGACACTGGTGCAGTTCTAGTAGTCTGGAGCAACGTCTGACACATAGAGAAAGTTGAAATCACATGCAGAAGATATCCTCATTGCAAAATAAGTTCAAACCTATGTGCCACTCTAAACATAGTTTAAAGTAGAGCACAGAGAATCCCTTTTTGATTCCCTCTCTTTCTACTTGCTCTGAAGAATCCGCAAAACTCTTCAGCGTAGACATCAGGTGGGAAAACAAAGTGGGATTCTCTACAAGCAACAATCCGGCCACTTGTAAATAGAATTTCGTATCCTCATTATAAAGTTTATCAAATAAGATAGACACTGCCAGTAGAATCTCAATTATACCCTAAAGAGAGGTAGAACCAGCCTTTCTTTTGGTCCATGAATTGTGCCTACTGAAAAGCGGCCTTAAAGTTTGTTACTTCAAAGTTGGTCGTTGTACGGCCATCAAATCCGACAAGAAGCAAATACTTGACATAATTCAAATTCATAACTCGTGCAGCTTTCATGAAAAAAAATAAATAAATAAAAAAAAAAAAAAAAAATCTCCTGCCTCCGTCACTGCGTGTTCTTTTATAAGCTATTTTCACCAATCGTTTCACAGAATGCCCATTGTTCTCCTTGCAAGCGCCTACTAGCTTCCATGTCGTTTTCCATCCCGAAAATTATTTCAACAACTAAGATGAACGATGACCACGCCGCTGTGTGCTCGATGATTAAAAGAAATCCTCTTGTCACAGGGGCTCCTTTCTAGCGAGAACTACTGCACTAATGCGCAAGAGAATTTCGAGTACTTCAATGCCCAGCCGTTAGCCTTGCCAATATCTTAATAAGAATTAAGAGGTTCAAATTCTGCAGAATCAACTGATTCGTCTCGTCCTTACCTCGAAAATCCAATGTATCCGCACTCTTTGTAACGTGACTTACAACCTGAATTCCAAGGATAAGCTCTGAATCTAAAAAGATTCCCAAAACTCACTATACTCCACAAAATTGAATCCGATCATTCTGCACATTAATTCATTGCCTCGAGATTAAAGAAGAACGAAGGATTCGGCGCTCTGATGTCACTGATATAGATATGATCAAGGCCTTCATTTTCTAGTTCGACTTTTTCCTTCCAAGACAAATAATTGCTACCGTTTATAAACGATTAGATCCAGAGATACCCACTCACATTGAATCTTAAGGCGCTGAAAATAGAAAAGAATAGAAAAGAAAAGAAGGAGGTACAAGCAAGCGATTCCAAAGAAGACGACTTACCGGCCCATCATCTTGCTCCACATCGATAATCTCAGTCCAACACTTGGCTAAGGACTCATCCTGGGGAACAAACTGAGTCCACTGCAACCACTCTGCACCCGCCCCATAAACATCGCTCGCTGGCACTGGCTCCAGCTCATTCATTGCCACAACAGCTCCTGCTTCTGCTGCCGCCTCTGATCCTTCCAGAAGGGGAACCCCTGCCCCATCTGACGAGTCCAACAATCCCTGCTCCAAGCACTCACACACCATCACCTCTCACCTTTCCTGCACCTTGGAAAAAAAATACATCGACTTCCACCCTGACCATGTTCCGCACTCTCAAGAAAAAAGGCAAGCCCAGGAGAAGCAAAGCAGAAACACAGCCATTTTTCCCATGCGGTTCAGCCTTGGAATCACTCCCGAGCTCTCAACAGCTTGTTCAGGCAACACGTAATGCTGGAAGAACGCAACGAAGTACTAGATGAAAGCTCTGCACAAAATCCTCAAACTCTAACACCAATTCTCACTCCCCAACCATCTGCGACCGCTCCCGTGCACAAGCTCCTACCACCTATGCAAAAAGCTCTTGAAAAAATTTCACATCATCCTTCCTAATTCATCCCTCTCTCACTCTCTCTCTCTCTCTCTCTCACTCCCACACCAACCACCACGCAATGATTGAAACCAAACATCTCTCCCTCGCAACCCCCACCAGAAACCAAACGAGAAAACCCGCGAGTGCCTCACTCACCCACTTCTTCCACATGAGGTGAGCTTCCTACATGGGCAGCAAGAGGGAGCAGCGAAGGAGGAGCAGCCGGCCCGCGCACACACAACTAAGACGAACGCCTGCTTTTGGACCTCTCCCCCTGGTAAGCCGGCGTGCACGAGCTCCGCCAGCCCCAGTGACATGCTCTTGTGGTAGGTTCCCACTTGTGGTCGACAACAACAACACAACGTACTGATACTGCTACTACTGCTACCACCCCCTCAAACGAGCTGCTGCAGCGTGATAGAAACAAGGACAGTAGAAGCGCTGACGATGACGATGGCGATGGCGACGGCCACCACGCTCCAGCAACTCTCAACCCACAAAAGATTCCCACCCTCCCTCCCTCCCAGCGTACTACACTAGTATCCCAATCACTTGCTCATGCGCCTCCTGGGTGAGATCATCGCAGAGAGTGATAAACCCCAAGTGAGAGAGAGAGACCGCTGCTGATGCGAGCGAGCGAGCAAGCACACCGCAAAAGCGAGCGCGGAGCGACCAAGCATTTGCCGTGGTACTTGAGCCGCATCCCCGCAAAGCCATGGTCTCCACGCGAACGGGCGGGCGGGCGGGCGGGCGGGTAGGGGGCGAATGTCGCGACGCGAGGCCGCGACGGCGCGAGTGTGGCAGCGTGGGCAGTCGAGCGCGGGTGTGGCAGCGTGGGCAGTCGAGTGCGGATGCGGCAGCGGTGGCGTGGAGGCCATAATGGGAGAGAGGTAGAGGGGCGTAAGAATAATAATAATCTATGTTTCATCTTTTATATATATATATATATATATATATATACCCGGGATTTTAAATAGACCCAGGTTTTTACTAAATTGACCCACCCATCCTAAACATCATGAAAAAAAAAAAAAAAAAAAAAAAAAATCTTCTTCACCATATGCTTCATCAAGGGTGGGTTGATTTAACATCTGGATCTATTTAACATTCTCCTGAGAATAATAATAATAATAATCTATATTCCAAGTTTCTTTCTCCTTTGGAAGAAGAGAGAGTTGCTTTTGGGCCACACCATCACTACTACTACTACTACTACTACTCCCCTTCCTCCTCATCCCCCTTTTTTTCATTTTTCTCTCTTTAGTTCCTATTCTTCACTTACATCAACTTTGGTTGGTTGGTTGTTGCATGGGTTGGGCATTGTGTGTGTGAAAACCATGTATGGTTGGTTGTTTATGCAATTCCAACTACAACTTTGGGTTCTTTTTTTAATAAGAGAGGGAGATGACTTTTACGTGGGATGAAGGTTGGTGTGATGGGATTTGTAGTGTGGGAGTGTGTTGTTGTTGTTGTTGGGTGGGGGTTTTTGGACATTATTTTTTTTCATCTGGAAGTGAAGTGTTTGGAATGAGCGGACTGTTTATTTGATTGACTTGATTGGAGAAGAATTTGTTTGGTGGTGTGTGATGTGTATGTGATGTGATGTGCATGGGAATTTTGTGCAATGATTTTGTGCTTTGAACATTTTAATTAAAAACATACAATAAAAGGTTCTAACTAAACTATGTAGTCTGATTTAAATTACAATCATAAGCTTTCAATCAGTTTTAAAATAAAACTAAAACATCTGGTTTAAAGCAGATTTGAATTCTTTTTTTTCTTTCCATGTATAAATCTTAAGTAAAGAAATAGACGTGTTTTTTTAATTTTTATTTATTATAAATGAGATTAGAAATAATAATAACAATTAAAAATTGCTTTACATTTTTACTGATTTTTAAACAAATTTTTAAGTAATGTTTTATTCCAATGACAATCAGAAACATTTTTTATGTCTTCAAAGGCATTGTTGAATGTGATTATAATACTAATGGTACATTATAGCATTAAGAAAATAGTCATTTTTTATATTTACGTTTTAAATCTGATACTCTATTGTATCATAAAAATCTTGTTGATGTTAGTAACTATGCTATATCAGAAAAAAATTTAAAACAAAACTAATTGAAAATTTTAGGAAGATTTTATTTTATTTTCATTTTTTCTCTTACTTATACAACAAAAAAAATTATAAAGTCTTTCTATGTTTATAATCAATACAAATCCTCTCTTCTACTATTATTCTTTTATATTTTATTATTATTCTGAAAAATTAAATAATTATTTATTCATCTTATAATTGACTCATTTAATATATATATATATATATATATATATATACATACATGCATAAAAGCATGCTTTTTTAAAAAAAATAAAAATTAAAGTTTTAAAATTAACATCATTATGTAAGTTAAAGCATATGTTAGTTTCAAACTCATCTTATTTTTATCTTTGGTATCATTAGCATGCAAAATAATTTCTATTCTAATGCAATGTCAAACACCTCTTGCCTTGACGTTTTTCTTCCTCCCCTGAAATATTTATATAATACCCATCTTTAATATCACATTTTACTTTTATCAAAAAAATAAATAACTTAACAATTGACAACGAAATCACATGAGTATTAAGCTGATATCTTTTTAAGTAAATGTACAAAGTAACAATAGTTATTATCAAACACTTTATTTTTTTTTCTTTTTACAAAAATACAATGTTCTAACAACCAACCCAACTATATTACAAAAAGAGTTCTTAGAAAATCAGAAATGTGAGAATGAAAGAATGCTCACACTCCTGTAAGAAGAGTCTTAAAATATTGGGTATCTAAGTACAAGAACATCTTGCCCACTATATCTTAGGCTACTTTTCCCACTTTTAAAATTTTATTTATTTCAGAATTTTCTTGATGTAAGAATATTACCAAGAAATATCCTGTCAAAATATATTCTCCTCTAAGAACCACGTTTTCTGTTTTACTAAGTTCTTTTGTATTCACATACCCGATTGTATTAAGTTCTGATTTCCTGAATGAACAACCACCAATTTATTCATCACACACAAAAGCAAATTCGAACATTGTTGAGAAATTCCCTCGAACAAAACAATATTAACACACTGATTTCACAAACCAGCAATCACAGTGCAACAAATATCGAACCAGCAGAGCACGAGCTCAACATCCATTACACTCACTTTTAAAGGTTGAAGATCACTGCAAGATCAGTAAACAACTGAAGAAATGTAATTTTTTTTATAAATGAAAACCTCTACCCAAGGTCTGCAATGGTAGTTGAAGGCATCAAATCAGCATGAAATGAATTGTATATGGATCCAAGACAAAAATCGACTCAATCGTATACCAGCATCACAGCCATTGTGCGATATCCATGGAACCATTTTCAGGATATCGCCGAGAGAGAGAGCAAAAGCAGCAGTTAGTCCACTAGAAGCGTGAAGATTCAGACTCGCAGCATCGAAGCACAACTGCGATGGCACTGTGATCATATTCATCGGCCTCAGAACCACCAGTTTTTATTTTGGTTTATTGGTTTTTTGTTATTCTGGATTCGGTGTTCCAGGAATCAATCATAACGTCAGAATATGAATATGTGCACGTGCCAGTGAAAGTAGAATGGTATAAATCCGAGCCAGTGCCGGGACAAAGATTACACCTGGTGCGGTGTGTGCCGCACCTGTATGCTCCAAGCCAAGGTGGGTCCCCGGCGACGGAGCATGACTTCAACGCTGTGGGATCACTTTCTTCAGATTCCACTGGGCATATCCGCATCTCGAAACATTCTCAGGTTTTGTTGCAGAGCACTGATTTCGCCAGATTAGGGTTGATATTTCAAGCTACTTCGCATCAAAGAGTGTTTTTTCTTTTTTCTATTTTCTTTACTGATGGGGCTGGATCCTCAGGTTGACCAATATCAGGCACACAGATATCTTTTGCACGGTGTTGGTAACGCTCTCCGATCAGTACCCTGCAGAGACCTTCGAAGACCGTGCCTCACTAGCTCTTCGAAGCAGGAGCATGGCAGATGAATATGCGTCGAAAGTGTCAACTCGGAAACGAGAATCTAGATATTACAAAATATGAAGTCGCATCAAACGTGGTGACTTGAGAGCAGCGCAAGGGCACTGCGACGGCAGCTGATATCCTCTTATATCCTAAACCCCCTTTGTGACCCACAAGTACTTTGCCTGACAGCGCCGTGGAAAGGCTTTTTCACCACAGCGCTTGCTTGTAGAAACAGACTCGACTTACTGCGTCGAGAACTACGACTCGATAAGCGCCTACGTTACGCCGCATGACATACGGCGTCACACACACAACCTTGCGGAAATCTCCCACCGCAGAAGCGATTCGCAGGTTGCAGTTTTTTCTTATCTTTTCTGTGTGTTTGACCTGTTATCAATCCCACTAAGTCCCTGCAGTGGGATTGATCACAGGTCCTGACAACGGCGAGCTTCACCATAAGCTGTCCAGTTTTAGAGGTGCTTGGGATGGGTGCTTGGACAGCCAAAAGACGGACTGAGTGATTGAGCCCAATGATGGAGGGAGTAGAAGGAGGACTCAGATGAAGAACCTGCCAGGGATGGCCCATCCGAATGACGACTCTGTGTGGCCAAAAGACGCATCTGGAAAACGACAAGGGACGAGATTTTGGAGCACGATTTCGGGGTTGTTGCGATCTGGGACCCATCCAATGGAGGATTGAATTGTGACTTGTGCTGCTTTCTTCGGGACGCGTCTATGGGGTCCAGTCCATGGTATGTCCCTTTCATGTCCCAGAGCCTGGCTCGGTATCTCACAAGCTTCGGACGTCCTCTCTTGAATCGAAACACCGCAAAAACCCGCAGCTGTGGTTTCTACTGTTCCATCGATTCATCATCGTCCCCTGATTCCGCTTTTTGCCCGTGGGCTTGGTTCTGCGAGAGACGTTCCGGGTGATCCGCCGTTTCAGGAAGCTTATCAGTGAGCTTATCAATGAGATCTGTGAAGCAACATCCACACGTAACTTATCCCTTGCTGGAGTCGGGTTTAAAATTTGCATTTTGAGAATGAAGGTTCACGAATTTGTTCATATTAAGTATGATGGATGTTTAGAAGTTGGATCTGTGAGGGTCGTGAAGCGAAGGATTTTGATTACATGTTTTTCATGTTTTGTTAGTGCTTTTTTGAGAACGTCTATATATTTTATGAATACAATTTCATTTTGGAATTCATTCGAAAGAACTTGATTCTAATACAATCAATACATTTTCTGTAGAAAAGTACAAACTCTTGATCATTGAATCAATTTTCAAGAGGCAATTATGAAAAAATAATATGAACTGAAGTCTATATATATATACAAAAAAATGAAAGTTTTAAAACAAAAAGATTCAAACGTTTCTGGAATCTATACTATTCTTAAGGTATTCCCACTTTTTTAAATCCAAACCTTTACGGGTAGAGGCCAATCTTAACAATCGCGATTTGGTGTCCGTCATAATGATCAATTCAATATTTTATGAAAAGATGCAATCAATTTTAGGTGATATTCTCTTGACAATGCTGACCCTCTCCGAAGAGATGTACATGACAAGTTTTTCAAGGGCTTTAAGTATTCAACTTATACCATAGTTTCAACACTTTTGAAAGGTCACAAAAAATCAACTTGATCTTTGTTGGTTTTAAAATACTTAATATTTTTATAAATGTTATTTATTACTCCAAGGAACAAAATTAGAGTACAAACTAAAAATCAAAACAAAGGGATGCTTTTCTTATTCTCCAAAGAAGATTAACAGGTCTTTCAACAGTGTTCACACATTTTTATCTGGGAACTTTTCTATTACAAATCTTGAAAAAAGATGATTGAAAATTTATAGTTCCAATGCATTAAGCCTTGAGCGAAGGACATTTAAGGTTTTGAAAACATTATATTGAAACCACGAACCTACAACTCATCAAACATTTCCAGAAAATAAATAAATGGATTTGAGCATTGCTTGTGATGCCATTCATTGACACGCAAAACTACTTCACAAAGATTCCTAAACAGTACCATGAACATATAAACATCAAATGCACACAATCACTTTCAACACACCTTCAACAAATTTTAAAAAATGAAAAATGAAAAAACGGAGTACAAAAAAAAATTAAAAAGTCACAAAATAGGCGCCATTTGTGCCTTACGCAACAAGAAATACACGCTTAGATGAACACACACACATACACACGCGCACAAGGGTAAATAAATAAGAAAGATTCTGATTTTCATGTGAGGAATACCGCACCAAAAGATAAACCAAAGGACATAACCAAACCCTTTTAATTTGTGCTATTTTCATACTAGACAGCGAGGAATTCCATCTGTGTATGTACACATAAATACACTAATACAACATTCACCTTTGGCACCATTCTGCGTGTTGGGTCGCAGTGGGTTGCAAGAGATCAGCGCATTCATGAGACCATCACACAAGCTCCAACATACGGACACTGCCAAAGAAACCTCTTCCAACAGTCCCCGAGGGGCCCTGCGCTGGCCCCTTTTGTTTCTTGTTCGCTTCTTTTTCTGACAAGCATCTCTGTGTCTTGTCTGCATTCGCACCCGGTCAAAAGATCAGGGGTGCCCCCTTCTTCATTTCGAAGCAGAAAATGGCTACACCATCCTTTGCGCTCCAGAGGCACCACAGCGTCCAATCGTCACCTGGTTGCAGAAAAAAGAATCTGAGAGTCAGAGTAGTCCACGCGCAGCATCTACTAAAAGAGCTTTCCCCTCACAACAATCAGAAATCAGGCGGGAAACTATATATATATATATATATTAGTAATTACGCATGCTTATTCTGTTCTGTTCCTTTACACTTTGTCGTTCATTCAAGGTTTCCGATCATCGCGTTCCGCACATGAGTCATTAGGTTGCGCAACAATTACTCACAGTGGGAATCCGATTCATGGGTTCGGACAAGATGGCCCAGCTGCAGTCGAGCATCTGATACTTCGAATTCACTTCGCAGTGCAGCAGGATTCGAGGCATCAGCTCTTCATAATGTGTACGAAATGCACAAAGAGCCAAGTACTGTCGACCGCCGCGTTAGCCCTTCGGAGAAATTGAGAGGCAAAATCGCCAGAATTGTAGACGTGCGAGCTTTCCAGTTTCATCAGTTGTCCTCATTGGTATTCGAATGAGTTAATCAATACAGGTCGCCTCCCCTTCGCGTGCAGTAACTCAGTTCAATTATATTCTGCGAAATGTGTCAGCATTCCGCAATCATAATCAACTCTTCTGGTGTTGCAAATTCAGAACGGCACATCAATCGGCATCACACCATAAGCCTATCCTAATCTTGTAGCAGTGGGGTCCAACATTTAAAAGTGGGATAGGAAAATCCAGATGTTATCTTCGAAGTACCAAGTGGAAATTGAAGGACGAAAGACTTGCGCTACGACGAAGAGTTTGTATTTACAATTGTAAAATGTGGTCACAGGGGATGAATCAACCCCAATAGTTTCGATACAAGCAGTCAGTGTAGTCAGTAAAGCCAACGCCACGAGAATCACACATGGCAGACACAGGAAAACAGCTATAAGGTGAACCGAGGCATCCAACTAACCATCTTCATCTTCACAATCGTAATCGTCCTCATCGGGATGCAGAGAGGGGCGCAGTTCGCTCCTTTGTAAATGTAATGTGCCCCCTAAGACATTCTCACTATCTACATCCAAATCCTGTGTCGGTACATTCGACCCATCATGCTCTACTTCTTCCTCGTTAACCGTCGCTTCATCAGCTCCGGCAGCTACTTCACCATTTTCATCTAAATCCATGTTTAAATCAAATCCGAGTAATTTTGGAGACTTCGTATGGCCAGATGAAGTGGGACTGGCATCTCGGGCGGCAGCCTCCTCCGATTTCGGCCTAGGTTTATGAACTATGGGGTCTAAAATTACATTTTCACGATCGGGGGATGGTGAATATGTGTCCATCTCAGCATCTTCAGAATCTTCTGCCTTCTCGACCCCGTTGGAGCGAGAGCTCGGAGTACCATTTGACCCTCTCCCTCGACCTCTGCCTCTGCCTCTGCCCCGCCCTCGGCCCCGGCCCCTACCTGATGTTGATTGGTCCTCCTGCATACGAATGTTCACTTGTAAACATCTCACTCAATAGTCCGTACAACCATTCAATCCTCTCATTCATATAACAACGCGCCAACTCTAACAGACTTCAAGCAATGACGGTTGATACAATTTGGATTAGACGAAGCTTCTGATCAAATTAAAGTGCTCACTTCTGTAACAATATGAAATGAAAAAACAAAAGAAAAAAAAACCGCAGAGACCGCAATGTAAAAAACGCAAGAGTTCGAATAACGAAGAACACAAATCCAGTAAAAACGAACGGCAAAGTTTGAAACACATACCGATTTCGGCCGCTTCACCACCTCCTCTTCATCACTGTCGTCTCCATCTGATTGCTTTCTGCAGATAGAAAAATATCATCAACCATTAGCCAAAACGTCCCAGTTCGCAAGGTTCATCACGAAAACGTTGCGTCTACAACATCATGACAGTAGAGCACACATACACTCTATAGAGTTCAAATACCGAAAAAGACTGCACATGAGGTAATGATTCAAATGTGTACATAGAAATGACACTTAAAAACCACAAACCTTCTCCTTCCACCATTCCTTTCGTCACAGGTTGTCTCTGTGCCAATATCTGGAACCTTTGAAACAATTTCTTGTAGAAAATCAAAAACGCTATTTGTCTGTACACACTGCTTCCTGTAGTATACACAAGAAGAAAATCAGTAAATAACAAGATGTAGTAACTTAAACAAACAGTGACAAAGGGAGCACCAACATTTTTTTAACAGCAACCATTACATCTATGTAGAAGAGTTCAAACACCATTTTTCACGTCACCTAATGGTCAAAATACGATGATCGAACTAATGTATTCTTCGATGAGGTTTTAAAACCCATCTCATCAGAGCATCTTACAACCAAAGAAACATTTACCGTCACTTACAAATGGAATGAACTCATAGTTTTGGCACCCCTTCGGAGAGTTATCTCATAGGTTTTATCACATAGATTCTGAAGAAAAAGCTCCAACGCTTTAGCTGCAGAAAACGAACGAAACTTAAGATCAATGCCATAACAAATAACTTCAAAGCTGCCCTACAATCTTAACGCACAATCTTCGCTAGCACAGAAACTTTGGATACAGCCTAGATCTTATGACTTGTCAGTCACAAAGCCTTGAACCCTACACTTAAGTTAATAACATTAAGTACAGCAGTAACAATCTGCCATCACTGCCCACTGGTCTCGTTACCATCCCATGTCGGATACAGATCATAAGATGCCAAAAGGTTACAACTTGAGGACCTCACACGCCTTAATACTAGCAATACACCAGTAACATGCCCGACTAGTTTCAAGCACCGTGCTGAACACTCTTGTGAAGACAAATTAGTTTTCTAGATTAACTCTCGTTAAGGAAGCTAGCAGACCACACATACACAGATAAGGCTTGGAGACGTACAGATCAATACTGGTGTCGCCATGGCGATCTTCCCGACTTCTTCATCGGCTTGCATTATCTTCTTTATCCGTGCCTGAGGCAAAGACATACAGGTGAGAAAAGGTCGGTAGTCACATAAAAACGCCTAAATCAGAACTTGAGGAGCTTGTCCAAGTGATATTGAATGCTACAAGTAAGAAAAGATCCATGCATAAACGTAGAACAGTATGAACTTATAGACATACAATAGTATGCGACTTTGCAGCCCACACAAAAAATAGTGAAGAAAGTCATAAGAAACATCTACAGAGCATCAGACAGATGTGTCCGAGGCAACATTCGACGAGAAGTAGCATCGAATAAAACGATTACTGTAAATACTTTTCTCTTCTTAAGTAACAAACGATTTCTTAAACGTCAAACACATTCATCTTCTCATGTCTAACAATATACGCTTCCTCTATCGACATCGTTTGATACTTCTGTTGTGCTTTTGATATTCGGTGGACAGTAAAAAATTTACTCTAACCTACTACCTCCAGAGCCCCTGAGCGACAGACGGAAAACACAAAGCTCCGAAGTCATTCTAGGACATGTCCAAAATTGATTTTGCACCTTCTATTGTCTCCACATGCACAAGAAAATCAACTCAATGGCCCTCTTCTATTAAATCTTCTCGTTCAAAGTTTTAAGATAATCAAGTCGCTGACAAAATATTCGGTGCGTACGACAACAGTCCCCCTCCTCCAAAAGCGACTGTGACATCTATGGAAAAAGCTTTCAGGACGACGAACTTCAATACACAAGCATTGCTTCCAGGCCGTCTGCGCTAATACGGCCGAGGAAGAGTTGGTACCAAATATAACAATGAAAACCAAAAACAAATGTGTGTATTTAAAAAGAAATAAAAATAAAAATCGACTCTCTATTGCATGAAACCCACGAAACCCTTGCTGTAGTAGTTTCGACCAGGTTCTCGTTTTGTTTTTCATTTAACTAGGACCTCGTCACCTGTTCCTCAAACCTTTTCTTGCTGCAGTTTGGCCGAAACCACAACATGTGTTTTCTTCTACAGTGCGCTCTTGGTGACGAGAACATAACAATAAGATCTTACAAGACACGTATTTCAAGTGCTAGGGTTCGTACACTTACAGCTGGAAAGCGTGTGTCCAGTTTCTTCTTCATCTTTGCAAGTATTTGAGACGCTGCCACTTCCTCTACGATTAAAGTATGTCCGCACTTCGGCTCGTGCGAGCTAAAATAAGAACCCTACGCTCCGCTCAAGCACACTATCCTCGCCATAATCACAGATTTCCCCAAAAAAGATCTAGCCCAAGACTGCACACTTTGTGTATGTTTCATTCAACTATACCCTTGCAGTTCGAAACATGTTCGTTGCATGGAAAAAAATTCGTCCCTACCCGTCTCTAACCTCTCCTCGACCACTTTCAGTTTGCAGCCATAGCCGTCCTCGCAACTTGACGTCACACAGATGGCCTACAAATTCAAAGCCTCTTATTTTCCGTAGAGGCCAGGAAGAAACCACCCCAAATCTCCCTCTATTAGGAAGATTTTCCAAATCCGAAACGGCAAAGCAACCGTCTGAAACAGTTTGGCCCTAAAACCGAGTCACGTAGAGAAGGGAGAGCAACCTACCAAGCCTTAATGACTCCACGGCTAACTACAACAGACGAAAACCTCGGCGTAAGCACAACCTCCACCCAGGAACTCGTTAAGGCGACCACGAAGCACTGCAGTAGCACGAACGTCAATGCATGCACCAACACGCATGCCACGCTCGCAAGTCCGGCACCTCAGTACAAGAGCCCCGATGGAACAAATAATGCTCGCAGCTACACCGCGCCTCAAGATGCTCTTGCGAAGCTCCTATCACGACAAGGAAAGCAGGCCAATGCAGCGGAAACGAAAAAAGAAGAAAAAAAAAAAAAAAAAAATGAAGCTGCACTTGCTCTCGCAACCTCCGACGCCGACCCTCCTGTGACTAACTAAACCGAAACCGCACCCAAACTGCACCAAAAGAACTCTAAAAGGATTCGTTAGGGAGCTAACGAGACGAACAAGACGAAGAGAATGCACGCAAGGGGAGTAAGCAAGGGAGAGAGTGCCGGAAACAGGATCGAAGCGGGGTAGAAATGGGCTATGGCGAGCTTCACCCTCCTGCGCTGCGGTCGCTGACGTGAAGAAAGGCCCGCGCAAAGGAAACACCGGGAAGTCCCGGTCTCCCGGTGGCACAGCCGGTTGTCCCGCCCCGTTTTAGCAATTACGAACGCCTCTCCCGCGTTCCCATCGCCCGCGAAAGGGGCTCCCGTTCCCCGTTCTTCGTCTCTCACCCCCCCCCCTTTCCGAAGTCGTCATTCCCTTTTGCTGCAAAACTAATTTTTTGCCTTCTTATTATTTTGTTATTTTTTAATTTTTTTCAGGCTGCTATGGCGTCAGATTTCACAGCCCCTCCTCCCTCCCTGTCTATCACCAAGTCAGCTCTCGTTGCTTCTTCTATGCCTCGGCACTGCCAACAACACCCATTCCTTTCCGTGGAACACAGTCGGTGGTGGGTTTTTTACGATGGGTGCCTTAGTTGCTGTGTTGAAGAAGAATGGGGTCTCGAATTTAGGGTTTCTTCCTCTTCTGCTGCTCCTTCGTCTTCTTCTACTACGTCCCTGTTGTGAGTTAATGGAAATTTTGCAACAACAACGACATGCTGGAGGAAAAAAGGAGAGGCTGGGTCCAATTGGAGAGAAGCTTCATTTTGGTACTTTCATTTCTGGTGGCTCTTCTCCATATCCGAGTTATTCATGTATTCTCCTGCCGTCAGTTATCTGTATTGCCAGTCTATTTTTTTTTTCTTTTTCTTGTTCTTTTATATAAAAAATTAATGGGTTTGTAGTGAGCCAGATCGTTAGGTTGAATAGTTTTGGAAATAGTCAAAGAGGAGGTTTATATATTTTTCTTGGGTAGCCGTATTTGACTACTCACTTAAAAACTTTAAAACAATATAAACGAGATGAACCCAATAGAAGTTTATGTCAACACTTGTGTGTGTGGGAATCAAAAAAATCCCCGGAAGGTAAACGACAAGAAAATAAACCAAGAACTAATTCTATCAAAGGTTTGGATGATTCTCTTAATCAATGAGAAATCACTAACAAACATTGTTTTGTGCATTTATGAATTCAATCTTTTTAATGCAACACATGTGGAAATGGTTGGTTGCTTACAGGTTTCGACCCTTCTTTGGTATTGAAATTATACATGTGTAGAGGAGAATGATTGGGAGTGGAGAGAAAACACTGAGAAAGTTTGGTCAATTGTCTTCTTAGCACATGTCTTCTTTTTAGTTATTTTTTTATATGATCAACTTTTGATGTGCAAGCAGAGGTGGGATGGATGTCTTTCCCCAATTTGGACTGATTGTTGATCATTACCACAAAGTCCAACTTCGTCTAAGCAAAGTAGGTTGACCTATACAAGTTGCTTCTAGATCCAGTTTAATTAATCATATATATATATATATATATATATATATGTGTGTGTGTGTGTGTGTATTCAATGGCCCAGATTCCTATTAATTAGGTCATAGTGCTTTGAATACATGACAAATGTCCTCCTCACACATCACCCAATCTGACAAGCTTTATCCAAATTCCACAAGGCTTCTCAGTTGCTCTCTGAACCTGCTCTATTAGGATGCTGCTGCTAGTTCTGGGCTCAGCTTTGATGCCCTAACATTCCAGCATAACCCAAACAAACAAATAGCCTGTTAGTTAGAATATGTTTCTAATTAAAGAATTTCGACAAGTAAAAGAAACAATGCATTGGCATCAGGCAAATTCTTTCCATTCTTTACCAAAAAACCAAGAATGATACTGTAGGTGGTTGACATCTCAATTCACCACCATACATACACACTTACATTACTTGTTTTCGGGGAAAGGAATGGTGCTGTCTAAAACATCGTACAATGACCACAAAAGTGAGAATATAACGAAATACTCAAAGTTTGATCATGGAAAGTTACTCAGAGCCGTGTCATGTAGATCCAAGAGGAAGGAAAGGAGAGAAGTCTTGTAGAAGTGAGATAATATTTAACAAAGGTCGATAACCTTGGTATTGGCAGGTAATTTCCAGCAACATGGAAAGAATGGAAAATCAAATAAGAAGACTTTGTGGGCCCTCTAACAATTCTGCTAGCACATAGGAGGTTGTGTCTATCAATTCCATGAAGGGCAAACAAAGCTTGATTCTAGGAAGCTGTCCATTTTTATCAATTTAGTATCTGATATTTTATTAAAATAATTAGGTTCATTGCAAAGTGGGAATGAATGTAATCTTAACACACTCATAAACGGATCGCTACATTCTCTGAGGTTCATAGGAAGTGGAAGTTTGGGCACGCACACGAATTGAATAACCACACATTATCACTACTGAGTACATTTTTCCCCATTAGAAACAAACTACGCCACTGAAAGAGGAGTGTTGAAAAAATGGACAATGGCTTTCTCTGTGTTTTTTTTCATTTGGCGTGTGACATAAATATGGTGGTAGGCCCTCCGCACACGAAGTTTCCCAAACCAACCGATCGGTCCACTGAATTGTTCACCAGAATCGACACTAAGAGTTCGCAATAACCTAAACGAAGTTGTTTGTTCATATTTATAGTTTGTAAATTTTACTTACAGATGTGTTAGAAATGCAGAATATACGGGAGTTCAGTAGTGGTAATGTAGCGTATACTAATTACAGCGCCAGCCTCATATTAGATAGACAAACGAACCACGAATAAGACAAAGAGTGATGTCCATCTCGGCTGTCGTCGAGGACTAGGCTTAACGATTTTCGAAGTCTGCACCACATTGGGAAGGAGCCAACACTCGTAACCCTGCACATTTGTACAACACCGATGTCGGCTGCACTGCACTCTACGCTTTCGAAAACTGGCAAAAACAAAAACAAGTCCTCTGAAACCTCCCAGTCTTGATTATACGTCGGCGAGTAATTTATTTATTTATCTTCTTGAAGAAGAAGAAAGTCTGAGTTAGTCACAGGGGCTGAGTAGGATGATGAGAAATAGAGACACACGTTATAACCGCGTCAGACAAGTGTGAGCAGTTTCAGCTCCCACGAACACACACATAAAAAGTGCAGGAGCCAAAAAGCAAACCCTAAATCGGAAAAGTTCCCGATGTTCTCTTGACGTGGGAGCGATATCCGAGGGTTCCCACGGGTTTGGGTCACCTGTTGCGCCCGTTCCCGGTCCAGGAGGGAGATAGAGCGGGTCCCGGGATATCGTGGGGGTGTCATGCGCGATCGTGCTCATCCGACGGGTTCGCATCGCCGAGCCTTACGCTAACCCTAGCGTCATGGATAACGCGCGTCCCCTTGGATACGTTCAAAAGCTCCCTGTTCCCCTCGACGTTCCCACGAGGGAACAGAAAGCAAGCTTAACCTAATACTCTAGCAGTAGCTTTCTAGAGTAGCTGATGACTTGGTGCATAGACAACAAAGACAGAGGGCTAAGCTCATGAAATAGCAGCTGGAGTTCACCTTTTTCCTATTAAAGTAAGTACCCAATAACCCACTATTTATACCGTTTTGAAAGTAGTATGCTTTTCATGGAGGATTAGTTCGCTTGAACTACTGGGTTTCACGCTATAGCAGCGTGTAGTTTGTGTGTTTTTTTCACGTTTACTGGAAAGTAAGGACCTAGAGGGTGGAGATGTTCAGGAGATTCTTGTTCTCTTTCAAGTACATGGTTTGAAAAAGGACCCAATTGTGTCTGTGCAGCCAAGCAGGGGTAGTATCATCAGCCAAGGGTTCTGATGATACTACCCCTAGATTTTACTAAAATCAACTCAAAACAGACTTCGTTTGCAGGAAGAGAGCGCTGACCTTTGGTGTGTACACTTTGCCAACCAGTCAACAGGGTGTTCTCTTGAACTTAATTGCTCTTGTACGCAGGTTCACCAGGGAGAGTTATCGGAGGAGCCAACTTCACATGACTAAGAGCAAAGAATGACAACGCAAATGGGAGGTGGTTTTTTAGTTAGGTGAAATGGACGCCTGCTTTATTAAACAATGCTAGGAGCCTCAAGAAATCGTCTTGAGTCAACTTTGACGATCGCTTGTCCTCATAACCGCCCTCAGCCAACACCCCAAGGCACTTCTCCTTGAAAAACGTATTTCCTTGTTGAGCGCCGTCTTCCTCCTCGATCTCCATTCCGTCACCGTCTGCATTGACATCTACCTCCATACTCTGGTCTTCGCCTAAGTCGCCCAGAATGGATGGATCCACAGCTGGCACACGCGCCTGCAAAATCCCAGACTTTAATTTCATTTTGTCAAAAGCAAAATTTAAAGCGGCGTTGGTCTCAGATCAAGACCCAATAGGTGCTACAGTGACCCATCCAAAAACTAAAACCAGAAAACTTCAGAAAAAGGGTAATCCAGCGCTTCTCAATAGGCAAGCCGAGGTGATTGATTATATCAAAATCTACTCTCACGAGTATCCATATCCAGGAAATCATAACTGAGCTGACCATCAATGACTCAACTTTAACTTATCCTGGAAAGGCGTACTACACAATAGTGCACCACAAACTTCAAAAATCTACTAAATTGAAGTTGATAGAAAGAGAAGGAAGGAAGGAAGGAAGGAAGGAAGGAACAAAAACAAAAAAGCGAGGAAAAGGAGTTTTATGAGTGGAAAGGAGTTTAACTAAGTACCTCTGAACCACCGGCCTCTTGCAGGGCTTGGAAAGTCTTGTAATTTTTCTCGATGAGAGCAAGAACGGCTTTCTGTCTAAATATAGACCCCAAAGTCTTGTTCTTCCGATTAAAGCAGAGTCGGATAAGACCGTCCCATTCCTTAAAATTAATAGGAGGTAAGGGATTACGAGGCTCGATGCGAACAACTGAAGAATCAACCTTTGGTGGTGGTCGAAAGTTGTTCTTACCAACCTGAAGCCGACATGAACACGCCACTCAGTCACAAAAACAAAGCTATTAAAGCGAAAATATTTTTATCAAAAAAAAAATCATGATCAACTCCTGTAATATCAATCAACAAAAGATATGAACATACGAGCAGTAAATCTTTTAAAACTAGCTATGAAAGAATTTATCCGCATATTTAATCAACGAGTTCGTTATGGCGGGGAGGAGTGCACGCATCAGGAGCGTTTTTTTTTTTTTTTTTTTTTTAATAAGTAAGAAATAGAAGATCACAAACCTTCAACAGGTGGAAGACACGAGCCAATAACTGCGTATTGACTGAGAGACGGCAGAAGAGCGAGTCTCCAGGCTGAGCAACCAAACGCTGCGCAAACTCCTTCTGGAACATAATGACTGCGCAGCGGAAGAGTGGCCGATGCGATAATAGCTTGAAAGTGATTGGCGATGAAATTTGATACGGTACATTAGCAACACACACATCAAAGTAGGGCAGCTCTGTTTTCAATATATCACCTTGAATCACCTGCATATTCACAACCATGTATCTTGATTGGGAAGATACAAACATGGAGTATCACCTCATGTGGTAATGACGCAGGACTATTGATGAATTCTTTACCCAAAAGTACACAGACTAAACCCTAAACCCTTGAATAAAGTGAGAGATAGCCGCCTTCGTGATTGGCTAATGTGGGCTCTGAGACATACACAAACAAGAATATCGGACGATGTACACTATTGTTCAATTGCCTAGAACAAGAACAAAATGAAAATCATCACACATACCTGGAGCTTGTTTGCATAAGGAGTGCCCTGGACACGCCGTGTGACCTCTAACACCATCCGAGGATCAAGCTCTACAGCAACAACTTTCTTACAAACCTCCAGCAGCTTCATTGTCAGATTTCCTGCAAAAGCTCATCATTAGCACACCAGGAAGAATCCTAGACAAGAGTGGTTAAAGTACCACGAGAGGCTTCTGTCCTGGCCTGCATACTACTCTTCTGCATTCAGTAAATTGCAAGAATATTACTTAGACAGACAACTCTAATGTGATCCAGAGCAATACAGTGATTGTTGCCGTAATTCTCCATTCGTCATGTCTTCTGAAAAGATTTGTAAGTAAAGAGATGAAACCAGGATCAACCAACATTCGTAAGACCCCCAACCAGAAACATGACCTGTAGCCACGATGCGGATAGCATTACCTGTTCCAGGACCAATTTCCAGAACAATATCTGTGCTCTTCAGTCCAGCTTTCTGGACTATAGACTGTACCAGAAGTGGATTTTTCAGAATATGCTGACCCTTGCTCTTCTGAAATTGAATCCCCTGAAACCTCTGTGGAGCAGGTTTCCCCTTCACCGCCTTGCCCCCCGCCATTGCTGTGTCGTCCCACCTTTCGTCTATGCCCTGAAACATAATTAAGGAAATTTTAAGTAGCAGGCGATTACAGCTGTATGCGCAACATCATACCAGATTCACTCGGCATAGACAAGCAGAAAGATTCCGGAGATCCAATGGAGTCCCAGCCACCAGTCCATACTATCAGGCATGTGAGCCGCAGAAGAAAAAACACTATCATATAAAGAATAAAACCTGAATTCGTCAGGATTACGTAAAAAACAAATCCTGAAAGAGTAAGGAAGCCGCAGACCTTTGAAATATTTGACGAGTCTCCCGAACGCTGATGGAAATGAGATATTTGAGACAAAGATCCTCTGAGCGACTGATACAGAAACCTTACCAGCCCTTTTCCTGAATAAGAACTAGCGGTCGGCAAACACAGACTCATACATGCGATACTTAAATTGGTCGAACCGAAGTTGGCACAAAAGCTAACGTGGTAAGGTCTCGTGCTTCAATTACATTTTGCACCTAATGCTCCTAGTAAGCCTTCCAGTGAAAAGTATCAGCTAACAAGGATCGTATTCGAACCTAAACCACACAGCTTAAACATTCAGATCCAAACTTGTGCGTAGCAGCCGCTTCACAAAGCAGTTGATACTACCAAAGGTTATTCCCACTTCAAAAACTGCAATCAATCTCTCACGAATCTGAGACTGTAGGCTTAACCCTTTCCATAGCGTAACACGCCATATCCCAGGAATGTCACGGTGCGAAGACATGGGAGGCTCAATTTTAGACCTAACCCTAAATTAGTTCTAGGCCTTCTTGTATAGGGTTAGGGCGACCTGTGTGAATACACGTTCAGGGGATGATGAACTTTATCTCAATTTACCATCCGAAAGTATCTGGAGACCAGCTTCGTTGTTGAAGGATTATATTTCAGTTCGTCAGTGTGCTAGCAGTCACTGTGTTGAATCAGAGTTTCTCTTTACCAATTTGCATGGTTTATCCCTATTTTTCTTCGTTAAATATTGGTACAAGTTAAAAATGATCGCAGTATCTTGTGGTTCTATGGGTTTTTTGGAATTCGTAAGATTACTTGGGATCTGCTGGAATCTACTGTTACTTGGATCTCCTTCTGGCTAGTTCACATTTGCAGGTTTCTTTGCTTCAATGCACATGTTCTTGCAATGAATTTATCCCAATACATTCTGGAATCCATTATGTTGTACTGATTCTCTTGAGTTGATCTGCAATTGTGTAGGTCTGAGATTTGGGCACTGCTCTTCGATGGATGCCCACTTACCAGCCCTATTCGGCTTCACATCTTTGGCAATGTGGGGATTGCTCATCTGGGTCTTTCACGCCCTCAATACTTAGGTGTTTCGGGGAAGCCAAGGATAGCTTGAATAGGCTACTACATCATAGAGCGAATTACTGGCATTATTGTCGATTATTGTTGTCATCACTGTGTACATCATCCTATCACAACTGCAAGAGGAATCCGATATGTCAACTCAGTTGATTGATCGTGCAATTCTGCAAAAGGCAAGACCTAGCGTGGCAGGAAGCCTGGGGTAAGACTAAGGCACGGCGCAGTGTGCTGAAAGTGCCCATAAAACCGACTTGTTACAGCTGCACAATTCTCATTCTCAGGATCAGGAGGGCTGCTTTTGAACCCTCTGAGGCTAATGGAGTCATAGCACAAAGTTCGCAGGGATATCTTTAGATACACTCAGTGCGTCATCAACTGCGATTCCATAATCCGTAAAGTTTTCCTCTGCGTCAGTGCAACCTACTTCAGGATCAATGGCTCAGCAGCAGGCGACGCCGCCCATACAGGCTCCTCTACAAATCAAGGTATCTCGTTGCTTCGCTTTGTTGGAATTCGCTTGTGATGACTTTTCTTTTACGCAGTGGAAATTCCTTGAAAAACGGTAGCTTGTACTAGGTTTTAGAAGGTGTCGAGTGCCGTAAAAACATACCCTAATCTGTATAAATTGTGAAATATCTGAGTTCTTCGCTTAGATTGCGTCTAAATTCTTGAAGAAGAATAAATGAAGAAATTAACAAGTATATGGTGCCCTCCCAGCGGCATTGCGCAGCCGCACTTGATAAGATGGTTTCTAGGAGTTGTGCGTCAATACATAAGTAAGCATTTTAGGAATAATGTTTCTACGCTGTCATTGTTAAACTTTTACTTCATTGTGTGAGAGATATGTTTTGTGAGTGAAAAGGCCATGAATTCAGGGACTTCTTTGGTGTTAAACCCTGGATATCTGGATTTAGCGATTCATGCTTAAGCTCTTACCAGGTTCTCCAAGTAGAATTAATAAAATGGAGCTGAGCCTCCCTGTAAGTGTGTTCATTCGTGATCGAAGAGTTTTTTTTTTTTTTTTTTTTTTTTTTTTTTTGTCATCATGAAATGTCTTGTTCTCATGTCATGTTGTAGCTGCTGTTTTATAATGTTTCTTGAGTGAGGGAGACCAACACAATTGCTAGTTGATACTTCCAGAAGGATATGTGCGACGTGGTTTCTCTGTTAGGCATGACTTATATTAAAATCAAAGTTTGAAGCTCTTCATTTCTACAACTTGATACTAGGTTCTCCTATCAGAAACCCCTTCTGTTGACAAACAAACAATACATTACATCTTGAGTTGATTGAGTTGTACCTGCTCTGATTTGATTCATGTTTCGTGTGATTTTATCGCCATTGTTGAAAGTTATTTATTGTTTTCCGAAGGTTTGCAACTTCAGTGTACGGTGAAAGAACAGTGGTTTTGTTACTTCAGCTGAAAAGGTGAACTTACGGCGTGTATTTTATTTGTGGACAGGATCTGAGACCATCTGTTGCCACCAACATTAACTTAACCTTTATTGTTCTGGAAAAGGGGCCTCTCTCAAGGATTGGTGAGAACGGGCCTTTAGTTTCAGTAGCTTTGGTGGCTGATGCAACAGCAGCAGTACATTTGCAGCTTTGGGGACCTGAGTGCGATGCCTTTCAACCGGGCGATATAGTACGTATTACAAATGGAGTGTTCTCCTTTCACAAGACCAATCTTGTGCTGCGGGCAGGGAAGAAAGGACAGTTGGAGAAAATTGGTGAGTTTACCATGGTCTTTTCAGAGAATGTGAACATGAGCAAGTTACATTGGGTGGCTGATCCTCTCAACCCCAAGCTATGGAACCCGGTGGGCTTCAATCCCCATGCACCCCAAGGCAACCAGTATCATCACGGGCCACTTTTAGGTAATTCACGTGGGCCTTTCCACCAGTAAATTGTATTCGAAGTCAGTAGTAAAAGTGGTGATAAGGTTCGGATCAAAACTCATTAAGTCTGATATTCGGAGATGTTATTATAATTTGTTTTAGACTAGCTTGTGAGCATTAAAGAAGAACCGTTGAAGATTGATCGTCATGTTTTGATGCAAGTGAACGTGCAGTTGTGTGCTGTTCATGGTCGTCGATGAGGTTTTATTGTTTGCTATCTTACCAGACATGGAAAAGATTGCGGATCTCTGGGACCCTTGTAGTAGGTTCGTCTCACGTATTTTATGTTGGTAGATTCCATGTCTTGAATACTGCATAGACGTTCCTGTCAGAATTACATTTATTTGTTTTGTAAGTATGTAGTCACTGTACTGGTAAAACTGTTTTTTTAGTGGAAGCTGCAACTTTTAAGTCCTCATTACACTTCGACAGTTCGGCCCATATTCTAGTGGTTGTAATTAGAACGTGTTCAACATCTGTATATATTATTTGTAAATCGAGTATCTGCCCTCTTTCATTTACTCAAGCATATCATATCAGCAATGCGATTCCAGCTGGGTATATCCATATTCTGAAGTTGGGTACTTGATCACATTCAGTCGTGTCTTGTCAGATTATTCCCAAGAAGCGGGATCAACATTACTGTTGAGAAAAATGAATTGTTAATATTAAGCTTGAAGAATTCCCAGATCCATACGTACCAGTGCGCATGTTTGCTTCAAAATATTGAACCGGAACACGAACACTGAGAACCTCAAAAACTCTTCAAGAAGCCGAAGCATTTTCTGTGCGGTGGGCGGTGGCGCCTCAGTGGAACAGGATCTGACTGCTCTCGATCTATATCGGAGAAGCTACGTCGAAAACCACGCTCGCCCATTAAAATAACCCATTCAATGAAATTCAGTGTGCAAAGCCCTGCTTTCAAAGAATGTGTTAAAAAATCCCAGAATCTTACAGCTCGTTCTGACCTCTGCACCGCATAATTTTACTTCAATACTTCCAAATGCAGTTACGCCTTGAAGGCTTCCCCCCTGAGATGATGAGATTTTATAGTACAATCTACCCTGCTGTATTAATGTCAAACAATATATAGAAAGGAACACTGTATCCACGTATTTGAATCCTCTGCTGCTTTGTAAACTACATGTGCGAATGAGAAAACATTATGAACAACGGATTCTGAGCAAACATTTTTATGACTGTCCCACAATTCATTGAAGAATAATGACGAGTATGATAATCAAATTTGATATCAATATCAAAAATGTAAAACACACGTTATACACAATCGGAATTTCAAATTTAGTGGTTCACTTGAATGATTCCAACCGCTGCTTTAAAAACTAATCGTGGCAACTATCTATATATTACTATTTTAGTTGCAGAATGTAAGACTTTAAAACATGATTTGATAGGGATGAAGAGCTCATTTCATTCGATCATTCTTTCTCCCAACGTTTTAATCACCCTCCTTTTTTTAGGGTAGAAATCATCAGGGAATTCTTCACACAATTTTTGTTTTCTCTTGTTTGGATGCATGCACTTGATTAGAGTCCAAAAGAATGTTAGTGACTTCAGAGCCAAATTTAGGGCTTGCAGTTTTAGGATTCCAGGTTTTGGAATTCACAGATTAGCGCAGTGCAAGAAGCAGTCAAGCAAATAGACCGCTAGTATTCTATTCCTCTCTGATAATATTTGGTGACGACGGCCAGCTAACCGGCCGGCTAAATCCAGATGAAACAACAACAGAGCCTTGACAGTAGTAACTCTTCACAGCTTCGAGGCCGAAGGAATCAGACACGAAGCGGCCTGCTCGGGACACACGATTGAAGAAAACACAAGTCATCAGGATTCCAATTGGACTCTGTCCTCCGCAACAAGCAATACACTCGATCTGGAACAACAAACAGTCTTCCAGCAGCAACACTCAGTAACAATGGTTTACCCTCCTCCTCGACGTCGATGAACAGCTACAGCTGCAGATCCTTTACATCTCTGCAGCATCCCAATGGACCCACAATTAAGTACACTGCGATTCTCCCTTTGTTTCCCAAAATCCCTTATATTGGAACGAAATTCGGTGCACCAAAGACCCAGTTGACGAACCTCAGATGTCGTGTGCCTTAAATGCGGTGCGGCAAATCGGCTCTTGATGATTTGCTGATTAGAATAAGTGCAATCTCTGAAGAGGAGTAGTGCTGCCTACACTGCACAGAGCCAAGGGCGTCGTTGTCATGGGTGGGAGTGAGTGGGCAATAAGCCAGGCAGTCCCACGCATCCCCACCCGTGCCCCGGTATATGACGCGTCAAAGAGCCGGGAATTCTGATCCCCAAACGTCAACCTAATTCGGTCCAGGTCGGGGGCCCTACTGTTCAACACAGCACAGGAGCCGGTATGCATGCGTGCTTGCAACGTGAGGGGGGGCTTTTAAGATTTAACGTAGAGTGACGTTGAAGGATGGGATACAGCGTGACTCCTCCTGACCACGCCAAATGTAGCATGGTCAAGTCTATATCTGGCGGGCCAAGGATGGGTCAAGCAGTCAAGGCATTACTCTGGTTCCGGCCTGAAAGGGGGGGGTCCGGTGGGGATGCGCTTCTAGAAAACGGTAAAAGAACGGGGTTGAAAATCCTAGAATCAACCTTGGCCTTCGAGCAATCCAGGTCGGCCGCCAACAGCAGCATAGCAGCATATTAATCTTCTTAGCCTTCCCTTTCTGGTGCGCTGTGTGTCCTGATGCATCGTGTGGGGGGGAGGGAGTTAATTATTAATTAATTAAGGCCGCTATTCTATTTGCAGTTCTATTTGCCGTGCTGCGACATTCCCTCCGAGAGACACTCTCACACTACAATACCGCGCTATTCCTCACCCCCCCCATCGACTTCTTTCCAACGTCTTTTCTTTACGTGTCCTGATTTTTCTTTATCACTTTTCTTTTCTTTTCTCGGGACGTGTTTCCTTTTCCTGCTTTGAGATCTTGTGTAGCTCGTAACAAACCAAGAACAATAGCATTTATCATAAAGATGATAAAAAAGAAATAATATGAGCTTATATATTTCATTGTTTACTTTTCATGATGGTCTTTTGTTTTTATGGACAGCAATATTATTATTATTATTATTATAATAATAATATTGAATAATGTATAGTTTCTAGTACTCATTGGCTTTATCAACTACATCATGAACTCTACAGCAACGATAATAAATGTTATTGTTAATGTCCATTTTTCCATTCAGCATGCGTACTTTTATTTTCCGCAAATATTAAACTAAATAAACAAATAAAATTGTATGTGTATTAACTTTTGAACATATTCTTAAATATTCCAACCTCACTTCCAACCATATTTCAATTTAATTTCATCATGTGTTGGCCTTACATTCTTTCTCTTGGCTTCATTAGCATTTGCAAAAATAGATAGAACACATACACACTTACTTTTATACATATAAAAGTACAAACATAAACAAAAAAGTTTATAGATTGAAGAAAGCTGCAAATGGATAATGGGTTTCAATATGTTCCCATGTTGTCTTTAAGAGAGCTGATAATGGGTTCCCATCTGTTCCCATATGTTCCCATGTGTTACTTACCATAATTTGAGTCACATGGCTTTGGTCTCAAGAGAGAGAATCCAAGTTTGTTAATCTAGACAATGTTTGTAGGAATCCGAAATGAATTTTAGAATTTTAGGATTTTAATTGTCAGACTTTTTGAGTGTAATACACAAGGAGTTGATTTTACAAAAATCAAAATTTGTAAGTAAAATTGGAACTTTAATCAATCAACCTTGAAGAGCATTTTTCATGTATTTCTGTAGAATCAAAGTATACGACTCATTCTTAGTTCATGTTAATAAACAGAGATATATATATATACACACACACATGCATATGCACACACTCATATGTGAATTGATAATTGAATGAAATTATGTATGTGCACATTAGAATTTGATGAAAAAAATACTCTGATGTCACTGATTTAAATACAAAGTACTAAAAACATAGGATGTAATCTGGAAAAATAAAAATAGAAATAAAAATGAGTCATATTAAATTAACAGTACATGGTGAACGTTGTATTTGCAAAAAGGATAGAGCTCAAAATGTAAAACACTGCATGAATTTACATAAATGTATCAAATGATTATAAAATCATGTGTTTATTTTGTAATTTCTGGCTTGAAATATTGAACAATTCAATGTTGATCACATTGGCTTTTGAATGTAAGGACGAGGGGTTTACTAATAAAACTATGAAAATGTGTACTAATCAACTCACCAGGAAAGTCGATTCACTTTTGTTGTGCAAAAGTATAGAATTTATAGCATTTGTAACAAAAAAAATATGAAGTTTTTTTAGGAATTAAAGTGAATAGTAAAGTAAACAGCTACTCACTGGGCTCTCCTACTATACAGTTCAATAAATAAATAAATAAAAGAGACTGTTTGTGAGTTGATTGGACCTTAATGAATTTGTTCAATAAGTTAGTATGACAAAATCAAAATCAAATCAAATCAGAAAAATAATAAAAAACACTTGGCATCAACATATGTGTATGTCAGTTTGCAATTACCTTGTGCTTTAATTCCAACTCTTAATCACTTAAGGTAAACCCCTAAAAAAAGCTATGAATGTGAATCTCCACACATACCACTTCTTAATTAACAAACACTATTTTACAATAAGTTCAAAATACTTATGTTTGCAAAAATATGCACATAGCAAGCAGAAGGAGCATCTTTCACAACATAAAGTTTTTGTCTTCCAAAAATAAGAAAATCATGAAACATCATTAAGTTGTGGATCATACATTCAAATCACAACGTGGTAATCATTCCCTAGAGTTTTTATTTTAAGCAAAGCTTGTAAATGAGAACAAGACAAAGGTAGGCATGACACAAGAGCTTGCAAATGTTGGGGGGGGGGGGGACGCATCACCTGGTTCCACGCACGGTTCCACACACCGCACGGTTCTCATCGTTATGCGAGAATGAGAAACACGGGGCTTTCCGATGGGGAGAATTTTACAGATTGAAGCATCGAAGTTGACCGTGAATTTTGAAAGCTGTGTGTGTGTGTGTGTGTTGTTTGACATTTGCTTGGCTCTTTGATTGCGCAGCCGACTTTTGAGCGGGTTAGGTCGGAGCCTGTGAGATGGAAAAAATAGCAAGCAGCGCATGAATCTTGTGAGCCATGAAGAGCAGCCTGAGCGACTGGCATGAGTCGAGAGATCACGAGCTGAGATTAGTAATGCTATGATGCCGAAATAGGCAACGTCGCTCCCCTCAGATAACTGAAGGTCGATCGCGCGCACCTTACAGTCTTGCTCAACGCACTCCCTCCATATTTGGATTTGGCTGCTAGCATATTCTGCGGTAGCATCGGGCGCGCCTGGATTCAGTCACGCCTACTAGCAACAGACAAGCGATGCTCGGGATCGAGAGGAGAACATGTGGGGACCGGCAAAGAGTCTCTTCTGATTGGTATCATCTCCCCCCCCCCCCCCGGCTCTCGATCCTACCGATGTCTAAAAGTTGAACCCAGCTTTCCCGCTTCGATCATGCGTTTCACTCCGCAGCCTCCTCCTGGGGTTAATCGGCACAGACAACCCTTCAGCGGATGGACGCTTGCAGCAACAATTGCCGCAGATAGAATTGGATCGATGGGAACGCCTGGCCAGCCACGATTCACGCCGCGATTGCTACCTAGGGGAGGCCGCTCAATGAGGAACGGACCAATTGCGGTCAAGCGCGTCTAAACATTGCAGTCCACGCTCGATGGTGTGGCCCTCTTGTTCATTTCTTCATGTGGGAATGATGGGTCGACATTCAACGCTAAAACGTAAGATTAGATACAGTTATATAATTTTGGAACAATGGGACTATATCTGCTTTGAGGTTTTGAAAAGTATTAGTTGACATGACGATGCATATCTTCACTGCAAAATGTTAATAAAAGAAGAAGAAGAAGAATGTTTCACAACTCCCATCTTTGTGATAAAAAGAAGGTACGAGATGAGCATCATCAATCACATTTTAGTGGAATATGAGCATAAAGTGGTAACAACAGTTAATACTATACAAGCTTTTCTTATGGAATGACTTTCTTCAAGTAACATAAACCCGTCGTGACCCATTCTTTCAGATGTACCCCATCATTGTAATCAAATTATCCGTCAATTGAATAGTGTGGTCATCACAACTATTCTAGCATCATTTGCTGTGATAATCGAGTAGGAGGTTTGTTGAATAGATTTCATATTGTCATCGTTCTTGGGCATATAAATCTGATGGCATGCCATGAACAATCTACTATTTTTCAGTTAAAGCGTAGACATATTTCGTCGAAGTAAAAGAAAAAGAATTGCATCATATTGACATCGTTTAGCTTGAAAAGCAAGCCACGGCCTATCTGGATAACTTCGGCAGTCGGCGGAATCTCCAGCATGGCTGCCCCCAGAAAAAGCAAGACTAGAGGCGGTCGCTGCAGTAACATGGTCGAGGGATAAATCCAGTGATGATTTTTGTCGTGGGCTTTGGAGAATGGAGGCACTGTCAGGTACTTACCTGCAAAGTGAAAAATCTCACATCCACTGCACCACCTGACACACACTGCAACGGGACCAAGAACCCCTTTCATAGTCACTTCAGGTGAAAGGTGCGTGTGAGGAGTTGCAGGTGACTCATTCACTACTTGGCCGAAAACAGCATTCCTTCTCAGAACTCCCAATACCCTCACTCGTGTCCTCATTCTCACTCTCTCTCTCTCTCTCTCTCTCTCTCTGCCTGCGGCCTCGAAGTGGTACAATCCCGTCGCAATTTACATATCCACGACAGTTACGAACATGTTGCTGGTGTCTTGTTCTTCCAGTCTTCGCACAGATATTGTTGCAATTGCACAGTCAACCCAGCTAGCTGCATTACTTTGACGTTGTGTTGATGGAAGACTAGTTAGAGCGGGAGGGAGACAGGAGGTAGAGGTTGATAATGGTGGGACGTTCAACGCCGTGACTAGAGCTGTGTCTGCTACAAGAGGACGTGTTTGAATCACTCTGAAAATCATTAAGAGTAGTGGTTACGCCGATTAAAGGTAGAGGTTATTGCACGGTGACGTTGGTGATGGTGACACGATTTAGAGATGAAATTATGATGTGAGCTTAGATAGTCGGCCTGTTGCTGTCTCGAGCGAGTTGGAACTAGACGTGAGTGCTGGTACGGATTGTAAGGGAAACTGCAGTGTCAAGCTGCTGCGTTGTGGTGGCAAATACAGGTGAGAGGGATTAAGAGAAACGGCGCCAACTTGCAACAGTTCTTCCTAGCCCGACAAGCTACGTAGAGAAGAAAATTTTGCGGTGGAAAGTGAAGAACTATATGATGACTCTTCACACATCTGCACAACAGTGCAACCTACACGGCACATCCTCTCATCAACGGATCTCAAGCTAACATTCAGTCGTTGTACTTTAGATTCTCGTAAACAATCACGTTTTGACGTTGTACTACTCCCTGTACACTGCCGGTGTAGTAGTCCTGAGGTTTTGGAGCAGCCCGGAGTATAAACCCATGCGACAAGACAGACGTGACATTCCACAAGGTTTTCGTGTACCGTTGAATGTTGGCGATATTCTGCGAGAAAATTCTGAGAGGGCTTTACAGTGCCTAGTCTTTAATGAAAGCGTAATCGTACACCAGAGCTCGTGTACACTGAACCATCAACTACGGCTTTTCGACCATCGCCCGCTTGCAGTTCGAGCAAATTCTGAAAGAGCGAAGGTGGGAACTGCAAACCGGGTGTTGAAAATGTTGCCTCCTAGCTCCTGACAAAGTCTACGAAGTCGGCTTCGCAACTTACAATCATGCACTCCGATTGCCTGATCTCTTCTTAAACTTAGGATCGTCTGTCCGAATTCATTCCAGCCGAGCACATGCCTCACCATCTACATTGTGAATCCCTCACCAATGCTTGCCGACTTACAAGGCTTTTCGCTGCAAGAGATCTCCTGCACACATTACGCCTGCAATCTCGTGTCTTGGCGTTTTGCAGAGCTTGCGTTACGAGGCTTGTGTAGAAGAAAAGAAATTGCAGACATATATGGATTCGAGACCTGGGTTACCGCCTGTGAACCCCATGCTCCTGCAACACATTTTGCGTGGTTTGTGCACCGACTCGCACTGGGTTTATGCTGTTCTCTGGCGCATCTTGCCACGCAATTACCCTCCACCTCAGTGCGTTCCTTCATCCTTGCTCGAATTCTAGCCCTGAACATTGCACTTGCAGATTATTTTCTGCAGGTGCTGGTTCAGTAGCATGTAATGGTCTGTTGTAAGTAATCGGTCTGTTGCGTCTCCTCTTCGACACGCTTTTAGACAGCTTCAGGGTCCAGTGTTTAGTTCAACAAACTTAGTCTGAAGCTACGCCACATGGAGCCTCAAGCAGTGTAGCCTGCTTCGCTGCCAACTTTGACTGTTGACGACGACCTAAGGCCGTTCACTATCCCAAGTGCTGCAGTTCTACAGATGAATCTTTCTAGTGAGACGTTGCTAATAATAAACTGGTGACAGTCGGTCTCCGTCAATAAGCTTGAAATGCGATTAATTTGTATATGCTGTTGAGGGCAATTCTGATTTAAACTGATAATCTTTCGTTACAGATGGGACCCAGAAGGTAGCACCATGGACAGGTCCAAGGCTAACAAACGCAATTGGTATGACTGAACTGATCGCCTTTGTCGATAATCAGATCCTTATAGGGCTTGTGCATGATCAGTCAAATGAAGGTGAATCCAAGGAGTGCTAAGCAACGTGTGACCACAAACAAAAGGTGCATGGAGCTTTGCTTCCGAGTAGAGTCGAATAGGTGCATTATGTTTTATCTACGAAAGGTCGGATTTGTGCAGGATTTTGGTGTGGGAGGATGGGTTTTGCAACTTCTCCGCGTGCGCTGGGCCAAGCTGCGACTCCAGGGCTGGAAGCTCCTCATTTTTGTCTGTGCGACAGTCGCCGAGCAACGATGGAAATTCTGAGGCCATGAATCCGGAGCTCTTCTTCAAGATGTCACATGAAGTCTACAACTATGGCGAAGGGTACAACTTTTCACCGCTACACTCCGCTTCAGCATCAATAGCCTCAGAATCTCTTGTGACTTGTTCTTGCGACCAAACACTTCCCATGCGATCGGACGCGCGACTGCTTGGCCTCTAATGCTCAATTGTTTGCAGCTTAATGGGCAAAGTAGCTGTCGAAAATAGCCACAAATGGGTGCACCGTGAGCCCCTGGAGAACGAGATGAGCTTTCTGTCTCCCTGGCAAACCTCCCTGGATCCTGTGAGCTCCGCGATCCCATCCCAATTCTCGTCAAACCTAGGTACTTCGTAGTTTCTGGTCGTTTACTAAGCATCGGGACATTACTTTTTTTTGTTGCAGCATCCACGCACATGGGAGGCGCATTTCAAGTCCGGAATCCAGACGATCGCAGTGGTTTCTGTGCAAGAGGGTGTGCTTCAGCTGGGATCCACAATCAAGGTGATTTTCATTTCTAAACTTTATTTCTCCAGATCATTTGCATAAGTGGGTCAGTTCGCTGTGACCACATGCACCGATACCACACCTCTGACACGTTTAGAATGGATTTGAGCAGATCGTGGAGGATTTGAACTTTGTGCTCTACATGCAACGGAAGTTCAACTTCTTATACTCCATCTCTGGTGGGTTAGTGCCTACTTCAGTGGTATCCGGCGGCAGTAGACCATCAAACGGTTTGCCATTAGAAGGTGGCCATAGCTATGGTCAATTAAGTCGGAGATCCATCGACCAATTCCTGCAACCATGGGTGCGGCCTCATGATCTATGGCGGCCAACGACGAACTCCACCTTCGCAGGTATGAAGCGGCCCTCGGAGTACGTGGAGCCTCTCAGTGTGACAGAGTACTCATATCTCGACGGCAGCGGCTTCGAACAGTGTCGGCCGGAGTGTCCGTCCTCTCCGAAAGCTCTCAATGCGGGGCACACTAGTCCCCTGCTCTCGCCCAGCTCCTCTATGCCGGCCGTGGTGCCATCCATGTCAAGCCTCCACGCGCTGTTGTCAAAGCTTCCGAGCGTGAAAACTCTAGACGCCGAGAATGAAACCTCTAGACTACTCACAAGCTGCGCACTTCCGAGCAACAGACTTGAAGGGAATTTTACGTGTAATCTACCGCCGATGCCTCAACCGGTGAGCAAGATACACTCGGAGAGAGCACAAGCCAAGGAGGCAATATCAGCTGGCAAGAGGGTGGTGATCATAGGCGAGCTGATGGCTAGCGGCATTGAGATGAGCCCTCCCAATTCAGGGTCGGATTTGACTCACTCTACCGTGGGCGAAGGTATGGAGGAGCAACAGAACCAAAGCACGATGGCAAGGGAGAATTATTTGTACGCCAATTCGACGTTCCTAGAGACATTTGATAAACTCAACGGATACGAAACTCCGGAATCGCTGGACAATGGCGACTCCAGTTACAGTTCGTTCCTGAACGAGATTTGCAGTTGATAGGGACTTCGAATGCCTGCAACCGCCATGACCTGAACAATCTAGATAATCTCGAAGGTGTCAATAATTGATGACTGGGAAGAAGATTGTTCGGTCTGCGACAAGGACCATGCAGCTCGCAGCCTCGAGTGTAACCAGTGCAAATTTCTTGGAGGGGGGAGTACGGTAGAACTGGAATTCATTGTACAGCGTAAGGTAGACTATGGCACCATCAGTAGATAGCGTTAATTTCGTTTCAGTGTGTGCGAGTGTGCATGTCAAAACTTGAATCAATGTTTGGTCTTCTTGCCCAAGGCTGAAATGAAATAGCTCGTAACATTGCCTATCTCTGGATTCTCGGTGGAATTCCAATAGTCCACACTGGTTGCTATGCATCATTGTATTCTGTCAATCTTGACGTAAATGGGATTGTTCGTTGCTAGAATTCACGTGAATTGGTAGTAAGATAAATACATGACCAGCTACAGCGCCAAATGTTCCAACCATGCAGCGAACTGCAAAGCGGTGGCTTCTGCTTCACGCGGTATATAGCATCATTAAGATAGTCGTGAAAAATGATGTAATATAATGCTGCGGCAGTAGAATAAAACCAAGCCTCCGAATCCAATCCTCACAAGATAGTCATTTGACTTCACCCAATCCATAACGCATGTCGACCCGAGAAGAGCCATCCAAGGAGGGTCCACACGATAAATCCAGGATAACCTGCGTGTGTCAAGCCCTCTATTTGATTGTAATTTTCGCTAGAGGTTTCACCAATTTTAACTATTGTAAGAAATCCTTCAGATCTGTACTTTCATCAAATCTTTGAAACACACATCGCATGACTGTTTTTTTATTATTATTATTAAGAATTTCATTATTATTCCACCGTAACTTGCCGGAGGCTAGACGATGTTCAATGTTGGAATAACTGGGAAAACTATTAAGCTCGGAAAGTGATCTTCCAACTGAAGTAACATAATTATTACAAAACCCTTCGGTGTTTCGGCAGGGATGCCGCTATTCAACCATGACTTCCTGTTTAACAGAACCTTACGATGTGTGACCCGGGTTCAGTTTTTAAAAAATAGGCAAGGTAAAGACCTCGCCTCGGTGTTTTAAGGACACAAAAGCCCGGAACACCAAGCCGCACGCCGCCAAGGTGTCAAGGAAAGGCAGGCTCCGAAATTACAGCCGACTTTTGGCTCCTTTCTTGGGATACGTGCCCCTACAGTTTCTGTCAGGCGGCATTAAACTACTATCGCCTCGTCGGAGCATGCCCACAAGAATGAGTGAATACCAAAATTAACTTGTACGGAAGGATCCACAGCAGTTTTTTGCCAGCCTTCCCACTTCAGCTCCCTATAGAAACAGATGCCCAGTTTCGTACAAAGTGTCCTAGAGCGTGGGTTTTAGTATAGGAGTACCATGCCTTCACCTTTTCAGCGATGGGCGCATATGATATTTATATCTAGCTTAGATCAGGGTGCAGACAGGCGATGCCTTTTGCTCCAGGTATCATGTTTTACGATACTTGATAAGCACGACGAAAACATTTACGGTGATCAAGTGAAGGAATTTCCTGTTTGTCAAGCACCATTTCCAGTCGCTGAGTCAGGCCTATTGGGGATTTTTTTGAACAGCATAGTGCCATGTGCAATAGAAATCCAGTTAGATTTGCTCTCCAGGTTTATGAGAGTTACACGTGACTTCGTTTCAGTTGACACTTGAAAAACTCACCAGTTGTGGAGTTACAACACAACTACGGCTTTTTGATTTTCTTAACCTATGAAGTTGATGCTGCTTTGTAGTTCAGGATCAGATGGATGCCCCTCCATCGATTCTCTGTATGGTTAAGAAAAAAAACTGTTTCAATCTAATCCACATCGAGCTGAACTCCAAAGTCAGAGCATCAGACCCCCTCGATAACTACGCCCCTGCGATATCAAGTAATCTTAGGGCCTGCGTTTCCCGCATGGCATGAGCTGGATATCCAAAAGCTGCGTGAACTCCAACAATGAAGGTATGAAAGGAACTGATTCACGGGGAGAAGGTAGTGGCGGAGAGGACCAATCTATGCTTCGGCGCGCATTGCAACAAGGTGAGAGGATGAATCAGTTGTCTGGTCGGAAACCAGCTGGGTGTAGCCTCGATCGCACCCGATCTCGACTAAGATCTGAATCCACCATAAGTCTTAGCCCAAAGCTTGCGTCAACATTCCTAGACCCACAAGACCACCAGCCCTGCGACGACTAACTTAGCTCACCCAGAACCTGCAAGAGATACACTCCAGATTCGGGGTTCTGCCATTGCAGAGGAATCTGCAACCGTTTCTGTCCACGAAAAGCACCCCAAAAAAAAACACACCCTCACCAAACCGCAACAAAAAATAAAAATAAAAATAAAAATAAGAAGAAGACATTCCACCGTTGATTCCTGGAAGCTTATTCTCTGCATCTTATCAAGGTTCCACACCCACACCACTTTCAACCTGCACCCATCGAACCGTCAGTATCTCCTTTTTTCCGTGTTTCTAGATATATATCTCTCTCGGCTTGTTTACTCCATGCTTCTTTGGATAAAGCCAACCTCTTCGCCACATATCAGGCACCTCACCAGCGTCGTTTTATTGTTTTTATTCATTTTATTAATGTATTTCTTCTTATCTTATTAAAAGATATGGAAACTCCCAAATATGGTCCACCGAAGAGTGGCAGCTGATCCCGGATTCTTTCTTGAAAGTTGATGTGCCGAAATGCATACTCTTCCGATGTATGTGACAAGAGTTGCAGATTCTTCTTCTGCTGCTACTTCTTCTAGTGTGTCCGGAAACAGGCTTGCAAAGTAAGCAATCTCAGTGCCTTGGCCCCACCTCCAGATACTTCCCTGCCAGGGTGTGGTACTACTTGGTGGAGCCCATTCCCTATTAATCTCCTTTTAGATTCAGGACACTTTGCTGATAAATTAAAAGTGTTGGAATAGTACTGGATTTACGTCGATGTGCATGCACTACATGAGTGAGTGAGTGAGTGTGTGTGTGTGTGTTAATTCTGTCTGTTCAATGCCGTCGAAATGGTTGCTTGTTTGATGTGGTTGTTGATACACAGACGTGTTCATGTGTTGAATGACGAAGGAATATTGTTAGTGTCCTTGCAATGGGAAAATGGAAGTCTTGTGTCGTGCCCAACATGCTTTGTAAATTATTACTTGTTGATGCATTTATTGCATTAATAAGTGATAAAAAGTGAAGGCGTGTTTTTTTTTGGGGGTCCATCCTAGTTTATTTAGATAATTATTTACTTGTTTATGATGTTTATTTCCCTACCACTGTTGATCATGTTGTTGTTGTTGACATCATACACTGAAATGTGTATAGTGGTTTGGGGTCCTTATGATGATAATAAAACAATTCACTGTTTCAACATTACATTGAATGTATCAACTGTTTGTTATGACATTTTTATTGGATATCCTCCATCTTCTCTTTATTTTATTTTTAAAAATAATTTCTAGTATGAATGGGAAACCATCACTTTTTCTACTAATTGTTAATAAATGTAGAATAAGACTTAACTATATATATATATATATATATATATATATATGAAAGAATAACTCATTGATATTTGGTCACAGAAAACAATTTAAACTACTTTTTCCATCACAATATAGATTTGTAGCTGTTTGATGAGAAGGATTCAGAGTGTTGAGTCATACCAAGTTATACATGCATGCACACACGTCTAAATACATCACATTTTAGTTTAAAAAAGCTTATTCTGGAATCAAACCTTAGCACTGCCATGTCACATACACACAGTGTTCTCAAAAATGCTCAATGAACCCTAAAAACATACTGGGACAATATTCTCAAGGTGTGAAAAACACACAGTTTTAATTATCTCATGATTTGTTTACTGGGGAAAATTAGTAATTCAAGTGTAGAATGAATGGCCCACAAGGGCACTTCTCTTTCCACTTTTCAGTCCACCAACTTTTCCTTTTCTTTTCCTTTTTTATTTTATATATTAACTTATTGTTTTGAAATAGAGAGGATGGCTATGATTTTCTTTTTCATGTGTCATGTAGGACAAGACATGAACCTAAATAAAACAAACACATTCAATGTATTACTATCTTAAGAATATATTAGAATATTATATTTTTATGTTTTAAAAAAAGAAAGATAAGCACAACAAATGTAGGTGAAGTTTGAATGGGCAAGGGAGGTCACGAGAGAGTGAATAGGAAACAATGGAGGTCAATTGCAATGCCCCATCTCAATGTCAATGTCGTAGTAGAGAGTTCCCGTTGAATGAATGAATGAATGAATGAGTGTGCTTGCAATAAAAACAACAAGTCAAAGCTCAAGTTGAAGGGGCATTTGTCCCATGAACTTCATGCCAATGAGGACAACCCAACTTTCTATTTCCCCACCAACTCATTAAGTCAGATGTTTGCTACTTCTGCAAGTAAGTACACTAAACTACACATTCTTAATCAATGAATTATTTTTATTTTGATGGTTTAATGAATGGTGGCCCCAAATTAGAGTTTAGCTTGATTATGATTGTCTTAAGGTTTCACATTGTATTAGCAAATACCTTTTTGTTGAAAACAACTCTCACTTTGTACCTGTTTAAGACTACTTTGATGAGAGCTTAGTTATTATCTTCTTCTTCTTCTTATATTATGATTATAATTATTCTATATATATATATATATATATATATATATATGTATATACATACACATTTAAAATTTATTTATTTATTACGTTTGATGTCATTTTATTTAATATCACAAAATAACTTAATTCAATATTAATATGTGGAGAAATAAGGAAACTCCCCTTATTAATTGCCAATAATGAACCTAAAGATAATATGAGAGATAATTTTGAACAAAAAAAAGAAATGATCTTGGAAAAAATCTAATAATCCAAATAGATATGGAAATAAATTTCAAATTAATAAAATATACAAGTCACTGAAATTCAAGATGGTTCAAAAGATTTTTTTGAATCAAATCTTGATGTATTGAAATTTTAAATTTTATTCATATAAAAATATGATCCGTGTAAAATTCAAGTGTAATAAAGCTGCTAAAGAATGGAATTTTTGAGGTGAAGGTGTATCAATAATAAATTAAACATTGTGAAGACCTTTGTAAACATTTCACATTCCACCATATTGAGTATCAAAATGGTGACCTTAATGTACAAAGACACGTGGAAATAAATTCTGTGTTGATCTAATCTAGAAAAAAATAGTTGGTAAAAAAAATTTTGGTAAAAAGGGTTGGTAAAGAAAATTTAAATTGTTTCTTAAAAAATATTAATTTTTTTTCTGAATTGTTTTTGCTGTCACTTACTGATATGAGCTCATTTTAAGCAACAAACCCCCATTTTAAGTTACTGAGAATATACTGAACATTAGAACTAAAATTTCTAAAGCATTTATGGTTGTACTAAATTTTTAAATAATATTTTTTCTTTTGTAAAGCTTATTAAAAAAAATAGAAGTCAATTTTTCCTATTGTGAAGCTCTTGAAATGAATCGGTTTAATTTCCATCCTTACAATTATGAATTTGTCTATAAAACTTACATTCAATTTTTATTTTACGGATTTTTGATTTTTGATTTTTTCAAAACTTGTATCCATTACCATTCATATATTCATGTAGTAATAAGTTTGCACTTTAGATGTAAAATTTAAAATTTATCACTCAAATTTTCTAACCAAAAGCTGAAAAGAAGATAATCATAGGTGCACTTATTTATTCCAAATATATCACAAAGATTAAGTATTCTAATTTTTAACACTAGAAAATAGTATTATATTTCCAAAAAGGGACTTGAGTAATGTCATGAAGATACAATAGAGAATTTATAACAAATGCTAATGAAAGTATAATACACAATTAAAAAAAAAAAAATCATAATACACAATATAATTTTATAACAAATGCTAATGAAAGTACAGAGTATCAAATTATATTTTGTATTATGCAAAACATTATTGAGCTAGCAAGTAATACAAAATGATTTTTCAAGGACGAAGCAGAGCTTATAATTTAGCATGTTATAAAAATTTAGTTGCTTAAATATGATCACCAATTTGCACAATTTATTTTCCATTAAGTATTGTGTGTGTATATATATATATTGATATATGTTTTCAAACGTACTTACACAGTGTTGAACTGAGGGCTATTACCAGTTGGCATAGTTTTATAGAGAAATTGATTTTAGATGAGAAAGTGGTTGCAATAATACATGCCAATCCTCTATTTTTCTTCAAATATCAGGCTCCAAGTTTTGATGTTATAAATGGTAGACATTAGAATTGAGCTTACATTTTGAATAAATATTGTAAACTATTGTATTTTAAAAACAATATGTGTATATATGTACAGTAATTTGTAATATTTAAACTTCTTAAAGACAAATACATTGATAGACGAGATACTGATGAATATTAGAAAAAAATACCAAATAAATGAAATTTAATTAAATTCATATTTTATATATAGAAATGGCAGCCATTTTGTAAAATTACAAGAAATTATCCCCCATTGCATGTTTTAATATGGATTTCAGATATATGGTAATAAACCAATTCGTAACAAAGACCACTGGATTTAAGCAGTGCATAACAAATTTTGAACTGATTTGATTGGATGTATTATCCATTGTCCATAACGATTGGGAGCAAATAATCGTTGTTGCAAATAATTCCAAACACTATTTTTACACAATATACTTGTCTGAACAAATAACGTTATTTAACAAAAGATTGAAGATAAAATTGTGTATATATATATATATACATATATGTATATATATATTTATGAAACATTTTGCGATGGAGGACATGATTGTGGGTGTATTTACAGTGATCGTCATAAAAGATAGACATAACATAATGACAAAGTCAATGAGATGAAAGACCTTTTTTCACCTAAAAATATATTTTTTGCAATTAGAATGGTGCGACAGAAGCGTGTAAAAATGTTCATCTTACAAAGCTTGCATCCCATTACTATTTTCAGAACAAAATATTGAGTCATACCTTTTGGTGGAGGCCACGCTTGGTATGCTGTATCCATCTGCAATAGCATCCTCTAATACTTCACTCATTCAACAGACAATGGAGTAGTAATTCTACACCCCAAACCAACCAAAAGAAACAAGCAAAAGAAAGGAAGAGAATGATAATAATAATCATAAAGAAGAAAAGCGAAATAGATAAAATAAAAACTATTCGATGTCTGAAACAGAAAAGTGAAAGTGGAGTATAATAGCAGTCTCCGGTATGTCTTTAATGCATGCTAAGCATGAAATCTGTGTAAACAAGCGCACGGAATCATGATTCATGTTATGATAAAGACTAAAGTGAAGGAAACAATTCAGTTAGAAGCATTATGATTTCAGCATGATTGAATGGAAAAAAAATTTAGAACAAGCAATCTGAAGAGCTAAAGAGTACGATGAACCACATTCCAATACCCTTATCGAGTAAGTCAGATATGTCTTTAGACGAGGTACTGAGCGAATGCGGACTTTGTGGTGCAACACTGTGATGAAGCTGTGCATCATAATACACACAATTTCCAGAACAGAGATGTTGATCAGTCTCAAGTACGAGCATTGAAAAGAAGCTAACATATCTTAATTGTATGAAAGTGAACAAACCCAGTGCGTGAAGGTTGTACGAGACGAGACTCTTGGGTATGATTGGCCGTAGGTAAGATCTTTCGAACAGAGACTTTTAAGCACTAATAAATAAACTAAAATCTGCGTAGTGTAGAGAACTACCCAAAGCCCGATTGCAAAAAACGTGGGTTCTTTTCAATGGACGTGACAACACACGAACTCATCAAACGTTTTCACATGAACAGAGCCCCTATACAAAACTGGAAGTGGAATATCCAGAGTATGTTATTCAAAGATCTCAGCAACCGAATCCTAATCTTAACTGCAGCAGCAATAATAGAATCATTAATAATTAAAGCCCAGAAGGCCAGCAGATTTTTCCAGGTAAGACTTGATTTCAAGTAGAACTGGAAAAAGTTGAGCAATCTGAAAGTCAGAATCCAGGATACTCGACTGAACTAAGTCAGCATAAGTAATCTTTGAAGCACAGCATACCAAAAATATATCCTCAAGAGCAACATAAAAAAATAAAAAATAAAATAAAATAAAATAAAAACCACATTTGCTAGCTGCAGGCATGATATATGATTTAGTGAAAGAGTTGTATAATACACAAGTTTGAGACAGTGAATGTACTGACTCCCGGATAATCCAGCGCATCCTCTTGCAAGTCTGGCATCACTGCACTTCATCATGACATTTCTGAGAAGCTATAACCACCAAAAGATGGCTTGCGGTTCAAGTTTATAAGATTTTTTGAGGGATTAGTTTGCTAACGAAACACAAATCTATCAAAACATTTGTCAATACATTTGACTATACATTGTCAACCTGCAGCAGCTAACAACGGAACCAATTTTGCAACATAGCTCATCACAAACCCATACAAGTAGCACTACAACCACAATCATGAAAGTGACGACAGAAGAAAAGAAAAGAATTAGTTGAGAAAGCATGCTTGTCGGAGCACAACCTTGCATCTGCTCAAACAATGACACAGTATATCGCATGCTCGGCCAGGCAACCCTGTTGGCTTCGACAATCACAACATTTCTTAAGAAAACATTCAACACTTGAGGTTTCATCTCTACCGTGCCGATGCGAATTGCGAATGAGAAACAAAATCGTTTTTCTGTATAATTCTCGCCGAGCCACGTCTTTCAACCCTCGGTAGAAATTCGGAGAGCAGAAAATTAGACGAACCAACCCAAATTGCTGCGACAGAAATTATGAAACTGAAGTATTCCAATGAGACAAAAATTGCAATGTTGGACACGACAAGAACGTAATACGGTGAGCTCTTGTCGCAAGTGATGCTTTTCGAGGTTCTTTCTGCTTGTCCTCAACAACTCCGCATTGTCGTCTTTTCATCATTAGCTACTAAAATTTCCTCAACGACATCCAATCCGTCTTTCCCTCATTCTTCCATGAACAAATTTTGCCTTCTCACCTTTATGTTACTCAGCCTTTTCTTCTTCGAATATTTCGAAATTTCCTTAGACTCTGGTTGCGACAACCGTGAGAGTTCAATCTTCAATGCCACGTCAGAAAGAGATTGATAATCTGAGAGAGAAAGGGTTCCAAGGTCTTCAGAAAAACAATCACTCAGATGTTAGGTCACTTCTTCAGAATCTGCTGCGCCACACCTTCAATGAGTATCTGCACATCCTTTAAAACGTCCTCACGCGGTCGTGATACCTAGGCCACTTTAACAACCCTGAAAGAGCTCCGCACACATACACGAGGGTCGAATTCAAAGAAGCCGTAATCAGACGTGTCCACTGCGTCCGCGTAAGGTTCTCAGGAATAGTACTTCTTCTTCTTCTTCTTCTTCTTCTTACAAAAGCTTTATCCGAGCAGCATGGGCACCTCCGTCAAAACACGATCGTCTCCAAAAAAAAAGAAAAAGAAAAAGAAAATACACATCATAAGACCCCGAAAAGTTCAGTTTCTTGTCAAATGCGAATCGATCCGTCTTCAAGATCGGCTGCAGAACAAATCCCTGGTTCCTAATCCTCTACTTGGTCACCCACTCATCCAACTTCTGCTTAGAACGCTATCTATCCCTTGTAATCGACCACGCTTCGTGGCTTGCATCTGACTAGGAAAGTGGGTGCGGAAGCAAAAATACGATGTGGGTTCGTCCTGAATCTCCTCACACACCTACTTCATCAATACAGATGCACAGAACAGCTCATTTTCCCACTCCTACGCTGCTCCTGCTGCTGCTACTACTGCTACTGCTACAGCTTTTGCAGCGCTCAGCCCCGCTTCCACAGCGGCGCTGCTGGTGCACCACCTCTCAGACAAGCAGCAAAATTGAACTCTGTATTCGAGAATCCAAAAAGCTTCGAACGAGTCTGACTGCATCGCCAACGCCATCGCGATGATTTGGTGCTTCAAATCACAAGCGCTGGAAGGAGCACCGGCATCCTGGGCCCCCCTCGCCGTGAGAGAGCGGAAACCCTATTTCTTATTTCACTGGAACCCTAAACGAAATGCAACCCTAAAAGTATTGATCAGAGGTTGAAAGTCATCATCTTGTATGGATTTATGCCCTATTTATGCTTCAATTCATGTGATGAGAATCAGAAATCGATGTGGTGGAATTCCTAATTTTTATTAACTAAGAAATTTTGTGTGAAAGTGTTCTTTGGAACTACTATCACATAACATTTTATAAACAAATAAAAAATACTTTTTGGGAGCTTTTTCTTTTCAATATATATACATTTTTTTATTTTTTTTATTTTGTGTGTCAAGGCTCTTGCTTAGTGGACAAAACAAGATGTAAGTCATTTCATTCTAGTTGCCTTTGAGGAAATATATAAGTGCCAACATGGCAAGATCCAACTCACACTGTAAAACATCTTTGGTTTGTTGATTGTTTGCTAATTAAATGTGTGTTGATTGACATAATTTATATTTTTGGGTGATATTTTTATTCTTTTTCTTTTCTTTTTTGTAAGGTTTGGGCATGTTGCTAAAGGATTCTTAGGAATTTTGAAGCAAATTTGAGGTTAGAGACCAAAGAAGAAATATATATATATATATATATATATATATATTGATTCCACATACATTTTAAAGAGATCTTAAAGAAATCAAACAAATATATGATTTAGTTATCTAAAACTATATTTTGTTACATTCATTATTCAGTTGCATTTTCTTTATTTGATTTCAAATAATTGGCTCTTGACTCTTTGATTGTATATACATTTTGAAATTGGTGTTGAAATTGACATATAAAAAAGATCATTAGATGGATTTTGAATGAGATTGGACTTTGTTCCATGGTAGTGTTTGAAAACCAACTATACTCACAGAATTTCCGAATTTTCTCTCATTGTTATTAAAATATATCCATATTTTTCTGCTTCTTCTCTTTTTATTCATGAAAAAGAAAAATCAGTTTATGCTTTTAGGTTGACAACTCACAACCTTATTAGTGTTGTATTGCTATCATTATCAACTTGACTGCTTACATAAATAAATAAATAATGTATATATATATATATATATACATGGAGTAATAACCTGGTTTTTTGTTGAGTATACCCATAGTAATTAATAGTTTCCATATAGAGATTTGAATCCACTTGAGTGCATGATTTTGTAGGGTATCACACTTGAGAACTAAAGATTTGCTGACATTGTAAGTGAAAAAATTTCAATCAAACATTTAATGTGAAACTTTTGAACATAGGGCTCTTTGGGACATTAGGTATTTAGTAATAAGACTAAAAGCTTAAAAACTACAAGCACAACTCATACTAATATTCATAAATATTCTGATTTTAAAAAGGCTTGTTTCGTATTACAATAAACAACACAGTTTTGTTTTGTTTCCTAATTTCTGGAAAAAACTAAAAAAAATAAAAAAATTGTGCTTTGACTTTTTGAATATAAAATTACTATAAATAAATACACTACATACTAATAATAATCATAATAAAGAATATAACATAGGCCAAACAACTAAAAAAAATTAAAATATAACATATGTTTCAAAATTTATACTTTTATTGATTTTATAAAAACAATTCTTAAGAATTCTTTGATTTATATTTATATATATATATATATATATATATTTAAAATTAAAAATTTTCATTGATGATTATAAAATATAAATAAATGAATAAATAGTAATATATAAATTGAAGATTTATTTAATAACATAAAAATTAAATTTCCAGATCAAGACATTGTTTATTTTTTACTATATATATAGTAAAAAATATAATAAATATGACATATATATGATATTAAAACATTAAGTTTCTACTAAAAGTATTTTATAGACATTTAGGTTTAAAAAATAAAAGGTTTGAAAGAACTATGGCAATCTACCCAGTATATTTAGAATTTTGTGTATTACTATAATTTTAATTGCTTAACTTGCTACCTATATTTTTTGAATCTAATATGATAAATCTTTATAATTTATTCATGATTGCAACTTATTTTTGCCATAACTACTAAGACATGTGCTTAGATTAATATTTTTTAAATATTAAGATTTAAATTTTAATAAACTCTGCAAACTCAATACTATAACTTAATGGCTTACATATTGAACCTTGTTCAAATAAGAGATAGTATTAGTCCACCTTCATCATTAAGAACAACAAAAATATTAATTTTGCTACATACTTCTTTAAATACTCTACACAAAGGTATATAGAAGGACCAAACTACTGTATAATAAAGCAATGATACACAAATAGAAGACATTGTAGTGGACAAACAACTCAAAGACATCATTATTAACAACACATTTTATTTAATATATATATTGCAAACTTAGAACTTTATTTATGCACAATATACATTTTTTTTTGTTAAAGTTGATGCCAAAGTTAAAGATTAACAACTTTAACAAAAAAAAATTATGATGATTAACAATATACATTTTTTTTTGTTAAAGTTAAAGATTAATATGAAATAAATTATTTAAATAAGTTTGTTGTAATTCCCAAATCATCATATTATTTCAACTTATCTTTGAATAATGGTATATTTAGGTTAGAAATTAGTTGCAAAAATTGAATTCTTTTAATTTTATTTTATAGTATCTATGCAATGAAAAAATAGAATGAAGACTTTTATCTATTTATTTTTATTGCTTAATTTTTTAACTAACTTAATCTTAGATTATATTAATTTTCATATGTTTAGCTTTTTGTTTATTTATTTATTTATTTATTTATTTATTGTTTTATAAATATTCAATAATTATTACAAAGTCTTCATTTTCAATCTAAGCAAATCTATTCTTTCTTATATTTTAATTTTTTTTAGTGGCTATCTTATCTAGTTGAATTTATTTATGCACTTTTAAGACTTAGGAATCTTCTATATTATACTTAATATTGAAGAAATAATGACATCCAATAGAGTTATCAAAGAAATTTTTGGTTTTTTTTTAAAAAAAAAATGGTATTATAGGATATATATTATTATAATAAGATATGATCAAGCCAACTTAGCCAACTTTACCAACTTGCTTATATTTTTACTTTTTTTCTCAAATTGGCTATGTTTATTTAATCATACAATCTTAGAATATGATTAAGAAATAGTACTAAATATAGTATTTTATGTTCATATTATTGAATAAAAATAGACTAATATAATTAAAATCTTTGAAGATTTAATTATCAATCAAATTATAACTTGGTCCATCTCTTCATAGTATTTTAACAATGAAGAATTCACATAAACTTAAAATCTAAATAAGTTTTTCAATGGTCTATTATAAATCATCTTTTAGAAATATAATAATTTTTTGTCTATTCTATTATAAACCAAGAGAATACTTACTAAATTTAGAATTATTTTAAAATAATAAATTTTATACAATTAAAAAAAGAAAACTTTTTTAGTTCAAATAATAATTATTCAAATAGAAAAATGACCTTGTATCTTCTATATGAATTAGCATGTATTAAAAATAATATAGGTCAATTAAAGAATTGGGTTTGTAAAGCCACAAAATATATTAGAGCCAACCTAATCTTTAATATTTGATAATTTAATAAGGATCCTAAATTTATGTTTGGATTAAATTTGAAGCACAAATTCATATGAAATACATCAATAATAAGTTTTTTCAATACAATAAAATAGATATTAAAAATTAACCTATAAATAGTATGAAAATTAAAAGAAACAATCTATTTATGGTTTAATTCTTAATAAAACATTCAATGGACATGTTATAATCAATTTAAGGATATTTCTAAAGGTGATTCATAAAGACTTAGTTTTAATAGAAAAATTCAAATTCTATGATTTAGGATGCAGAATATATGAATAAATTTTCAAAAATATAACCTTTCTTCTTTACCATTTATTATCAAATTAATTGATCTAAACTTAAAATCTATTTTCTAACTAATAATTTTTGAGCTAATATAGCTTACTAGCCTAAGTAATTTCATACATAGGACTATATTAATATACTTTTTAACATGGCAATATGTCTTCAAATAATACTATTCTATTATTATAATGATAATTATTATTTATTTTTACTATTCTAAAAGTCAAATTTGACTTTAAATTTTATTATGGCTAATAATATTTTAAAATATAATATGTTAAGATTAACTTTAAAAACAATCTACAAACATTATAAGTATAAGTGTCTTTAACAAGCATCTATTCATCTTCATGTTCTAGCAATATTTATTATATAAGTTTATAATTACATCTTTGTATAATTTTTAATTTATAAAAAAAAAAAAAAAAAAAAAAAAAAAAAAAAATCTATATCACAAGTCTTTTCAAGATTAACACACGTCTTGCAAAAAAATAATATTATCCTTAAACAACTCTGATAATTTTTAAGATGTTCATTTATAATGTCTTTTGTTCTATTTGATTGCTTTAAAATTCTATTTTTTCTTATATTTGAAGTTTTAGTAAATTAAAAAATAAAAAAATAAAAATTACATGTATATAAGATTTATTTAGATATAATATGTTATTTTATTTCTATTGAAGTGTAAGCTAAAAAAAAAAAAAAAAAAAAAAAAAGTAATAGATTTTAAGTAAAATTAATAGAGTAAACCAACATGTTTTATATTTGAAACAATAGTAGGGTAATATTATATAAAGGATATCATCAATAAAGAATATATTAAAAATATTCTTAATAATATTTTAATTACAAATTTAGTTATTTATTTGAGCCTCTTTTAATTGATATAATTTTTGGAATTCTTTTATATAATTTTGTATATTACATTTTTTAAAACTACCAACAATTATGACTTAATTATATTTTATAAGAAAAAACACATATAAAAAATAATTTATTATATGATGTCAAAGACATAAACTATAAAAAAATTCTAAAAATAATAATATATTCTAAAAATATATTCTGTCATACATTCTATATTAAATGATAGAATTTAAATAACTAAAAGATAGATATAAATTCGAAACTAGAATAATTATTTCCAAATGGAAAAGAATTAGGAAGTCTTGAACTTAG